AATTAACTATAAGAAAACTTGAAATATTCAAAAACAACCTAACAATATACATTATTTTCAACTGGGTTACATTTTAAAATGAAATAAAAGCAAAATTAATATTGTTAAATAAAGTTTTAACATAAATGCTGGTATGCATTTATGTTAAATGCATAACATTATGCATACATTTTAGAGGCAGCCATTGTGAATGATTTTTTAAATGTTATCTAATTCTGGGTTTTATTTAATTGACCAAACTAAGTAATAATTTTAATTAGCAATTTTATGATGTTTGTGTGTCTATATTTTTCTTGACTGTAAACCGCCTTGAGTCCTACGGGAGAAAGGCGGTATAGAAATATAATAAATAAATAAATAAATAAATAAATAAATAAATAAATAAATAAATAAATAAATTAGAAACAACATACAGCTCTTTAGAAATATCACTTATTCCACATATATATTAATTATACAAAAACAAGTTTTAAAATGCCAAATCTTTTGCAAAAGATATCAGTATATTACAAAAGAATTTGCTTCACTGAAAAGTGTGTACAGTCAATATTTCATAGAATCGGAGTTTGAAGGCAGCTAAGTACATGATCTGCTAAACCATTTGGAAGATTGCTACTGGGACTCTCAGTGAAGAGGAATACAGTATACCTCTTCCAGAGACAGCCTATTCCACTGACAGCTCTTTAGCATCAGGAATTTCCTCCAAATATCTAACCTAAATTTACTTCCTTGTAGTATCAGACCATTGATCATGTTTCTGCTATTTCGCTGTGTAGACTTTTCTGCAGATGAGCAGTTGCCAGTCAGACATGCTATTAAATACACAGAAGCTTCCTCGGATGGAAGTTGTGACCTCACCTGCCATTGATGGCACCATGTCATATTTAAATAATGATGGTTTTTTAGTCAAACATCAGATGTGGCCAATGGCTTTCAGTTGTTGGTTTTTATGGAACTGAACATTCACATTTTCCACCAGCAAGTTTCAACCAATTGCTGGTTTCCCATGCCTGATGGGAATAGGAAACTAATAAAATAAGGCTGGATTGTTGAGAAAAAGAAGGAAGATGTTGCTATTTTTTTTCTTTCACAACATCCACCCCAACAGCATACATTTTGTTGTGTGCCTTTTCCAAGCTCTGGGTTGCTGAAGTTGCAGTTCCCTTGGCCTGTAAATTTCCAAACTTTAGTTTCTAACAACCTGAACATGCTTGTTTAAATTCTGACAAGACAAGCCCGTTTCCATTGCAGTCATAGTTACCATACATTTTTATCAAATATGCTGAGAGCTAAGTAGGTTCATTGAATGTATTTCAAATGGAGACTAGATAATCATCTGTGTTGGATGCCTTAATTAGATTCCTGCACAGCAGAGGATAGCTTAGGAGTTTTGTGGCCCATTCCAACTTGAAGACAATAACTTTATTTTATGTTATTATTTAGGCAAATATATTTTTCTAAGCCAAGAATTCATGTAGTATCTATGTACAGTTTGCATATCCTGAGGTATTGAGTCACATAGATTAAATAGATCTAACGTTAAAAAAAGGAATGAAAAATGTAAGTTACAAGATCAACCATTCACAATAGAAACACTATATTTTTATCTGGATATTTATTAATGTACTACCTAACGTTTGATGTTTTGATCCCATGTTATTTGTCTTGCTTTGAATACACTGTGTGCACAATTATTAGGCAGTTGTATAGTTGAGGATTAATTTTATTATTGAACAACTACAGTGCTCTTGGTCAATCCAAAGTGTTAATAAATCTCAAATTTGAATATTTAAGAAAGTAAAAGCTTTCCTAGGAGAATATGTGTGTACAATTATTAGGCAACTATTAGTGTGCAGAATTATTATGCAACTAAATGAAAAATGAAATTTTCCTCCTCTCATTTATTGTCATCTGTTAAGATGAAAATAATAACTCATAATTTACAAATAAACATTTTTGACATTTGAAAAAAAATCAGGGACCAATATAGCCACCCTTCTTTTCAACAACAGTCATAAGCCTTCTATTCATGGAGTCTGTCAGTTTCTTGATCTGTTGACGATCAACTTTTTGTGCAACAGCAACCACAGCTTCCCGGACACTGTTCAAAGAGATGTACTGTTTTCTTTCGCTGTAAAACTCCCATTTAAGAAGGGCCCACAAGTTCTCAATAGAGTTTAGGTCAGGTGAGGAAGGGGGCCATATCATTATTCTTTCATCTTTAAGGCCTTTACTGGCTAACCACACAGTGGAGTACTTCGATGCATATGATGAAGTGTTATCCTGCATAAAAATCATGGTCTTGAAAGATGCAGACTTTTTCCTGTACCGATGCTTGAAGAAAGTGTCTTCTAGAAACTGCCAGTAGATTTGTGAGTTGATTTTGAGTCCATCTTCAACCCAAAAAGATTCAGCTAGCTCATCTTTAATAATACCAGCCCATACCAGTACCCCACCTTCACCTTGCTGGCGTCTGAATCAAAGTGGAGTTCTGCCCATTATTGATTCAGCCATGGGCCCATCCATCTGGTCCATCAAGAGTCACTCATCAGTCCATAAAACCTTTGAAAAATCTATTGTCAGATATTTCTTGGCCCAGTCTTGCCATTTCAACTTATGTGTCTTGTTCAGTTATGGTTGGGTTTCAGCCTTCCTTAGCTTGGCCTTGTCTCTGATCACTGAACACCTTGTACTTCTGGGCACTCCAAGTAGGTTGCAGTTCTGGAATACTAGAGCACTGGAGGATAATGGATTCCTGGTAGCTTCACGTTTGATTCTTCTCAAATCTTTGGCAGTTAATGTGCATCTTTTTTCCCTCAACACATTTCTTGCAACCCTGTTGACTATTTGCAGCAAAACATTTGATGGTTCTCTATCACACGCCAATATCTTTGCAATTTCACGCATGCTGCATTCCTCTGAAAGACTTTTTTACAATTTTTGATTCAGAATCAGTTAAATCTTTTTTGCTTGAGGAAAAGAAATTGTCTAATAATTATGCACACCTTGATATAGGGTGTTGATCTCCTTAGGCCACACCCTCTCTCATTACACAAACACACATCACCTGATATGCTTTTATCCAATAAGTATTGAGGTTTATACAGCTTGGAGGTGGAAAATATGCATAAAAATGATATGGTCAAAAAAGTCACTTGCCTAATAATTGTGCACACAATGTAGTGACATGGAAAACAATAAGGGAAAGCTTTAAAGAAATAATATTTTTGTTCTTTTTCTTCTCTATTTCAGGTTCCAGAAGCCTTTCTGCACCTCCTTTTTACTTTTTTATTGAACAGTGTGGCTTATCACAGTTCTGGACTATAATTCTAACATGTGAGAATTCTAACATCAGATCAATAAAGCTGAATCTGTGATAAGCTGAATGTTGTGCTATACTCTTGAGGTATTGGGTTTTTTTTCTATCCGTTTAGATCCATTTATTTGTCACTGGCTGGTCAGCCACACTTAGCCTTGGGTTTGTATATATTCTCAGTAGGAGAAATAGATATCATTCCCTAGGAGTGGATATCTATTTCTAGGGGTGGATATCTAAGCAGAATGCCAAGAATGTGAAACTGAGGTGACCATTTCACAGTTTATTGATGCATCTTATTCACTGTACGTTTTTTAGATATATGGAATAAATGCGTAACATTTAGAGTGATGCATATGTGCATCCCGTTTTAGGGAGATAGATATTAACAATGAGCTTGAAAACATTTAGGGGACAAATGTAGTCTGTGTCTTCAGCTCTTTTGAAATACTTGGATCTTTCCTATACATGATTTCAGGAAAAGCTGCTGCTGCTTTAACCAATTGCATATGTAATTGCATGGACCTACATATTCCAGAGTGGTCTCTGCTCTGATGGTGGTCTTGTATCTGATTAAATGAACTATTTCGACAAATATATTTGGCCTTAATGTGCTGCCAAATTTATTTTTGCTACAATAATAGCACTTATACTTTGACTTGTATACCGCTTCACAGTGCTTTGCAGCCCTCTAAGTGGTTTGCAGAGTCAGCATACTGCTCCCAACAATATGGGTCCTAATTTCACCAACCTCCGAAAAATCCTTTTGGGAACAACATGGAGATAGTAATTCACCTAATGATCTTTTTGATAGTCACATGCATTACTTCAGTTGCAAAGTCCAGAAATAACATTGATTTTACCGTGTTTCCCTGAAAATAAGACCCTGTCTTATATTTTTTTGAATCCAGAAATAAGCACTTGGCCTTATTGCCATGCACTCAAAAGCCCAATTGGGCTTATTATTAGGGGATGTCTTATTTTGGGGGAAACCGGGTACCTCTATCTTATGGCTATCTTATGTTACTGCTAAATAATTTCTTCTGCATCTTATTTTGAAAAGGCAGTTAGCGAATAGGAAGTTTCACATTTTAGCTCATATAAATGAATCAGTTCATTTGTGCAGTGATTAAAGGATTGGCCTAGAAACCAAAATTCTAGGCTTTGCTTCCCTTAGGCATAAAAGCCACCTGGATGACTTTGGGATAGTCATTCTCTCCCAACCCACTTCACAGGGTGGTTGTTGTGGAGAAAATAGGAGAGGACATTAGGTACTTTGACCATTTGAATTGAGTGTGTGTGTGAGAGAGAAATAATATGACTCAGTCATCCAGGTCATGGTTGTCCCAAAGGTGCTTTTTCAAGAGGCAGCTGGACTTGTTCTTTGAAGATGTTTTGCTTCTCATCCAAGAAGCTTTTTCAGCTCTGACTAGATGATGGGCAATGGAAGGATTTATATTCCTTGCAGACAGCTGGTCATTTGCATTCTTTTTTATTTCTTTTATAAAAACTGCAGATAGGAACATTAATCTAAAACATGATTATTTTGTCATCTTCAAATATTTCCTGTAGCATATTATGTGCAGCATCCAAACCAAATTGTTTTTTCTTGATCTGCATCCTTAATTGCACTGTGTGTAACAATTCAGTCTACTGAAGTGAAAGAATAAGTGATGAGTCAATCTTGGGTACAAAGTAGTATACTTGGGTATTTATTTATACAGGTACATTTCCTAAGAATTAGGCTCTAGATAAGCAAACAAAAGTAGAGGAATCCTGACCACCAGAACTCCAAAACAAGAACAAAATATAAATACAAATTGGAAAAGCAGGTGGTAGAAGAAAAAGCAACTTCACTTATTCTCCACCAAACTAAAATAATAATAAAACATTAACATAGTACTCACTAAGTATATGACTTTGAAATTGTGGACAATATACAATGATTAAAGCTGTGGTAGCAACTTTTAAACAAAACAATTAGTGCTTTATATTCCTTAAGGCTCACAGTGATGGCATAAAATATTTATATACAGGCTTTAAGCTTTAACAATAATAAAAATACAAAAAGTGTATGGATTTTCCTTTTGAGAAATCATTCCTAACCTTCAGAGTAGCCAAACTTTAAAAGCTGGCTCCATTTCCACCCTTGTTTTTTCTTCCTGTTCCTCCAAGTGTCTAAAGAGGCACAGTTAGAATTTTAGCTCTTGGAAAGGTGAGCTACCAACTAAGCAGGAAGCACCATCTCTTAACCTGTCTCTATCAGACAGGAACAGATACAGTTGTTAATCACTATTTTGCTTTTCAGAAGTCTGTAAATAATGCAAATGGGAAGGAATGTTCTGAGAAGATGAGTAAAGATTGTATGGTCGAAAGGTCCAGTTTATGTGATTACGCTAATAACTGAGGCACTGATGGTTATTAATTTGCTATGATTTTTGGCTAATTTTCTCTCTCCCACACTTGATATTTTGAAGCATTTTGAGACAAATGAGATATTATAGACGCAGTGTTACAGCATTTTAAAACAATGAAACCTGTAATATAAAGAGCAATACTTGTTATAAAAGATTATGCATACCAGAGAAAACTTTGATGTGAATTTGCCAATAAAAAGATTTGATATATGTATATGTGTGCTTGTGTGTATGTATACACACACACACATACATACATACATGCATACTTATATATAAACACAGATACCTTCTCTCCAATTCCATTGGATCGACTGGGAGAAGAAAGTGATTGGTTATTTTATTTCTGATGTCATTTTGTCTTTGCTGCCTCACCCTGATCAGGATAGATAACAAACAGTGGTGGGTTAGCTATTTATATCAGTATTGAGGAGTAGGTAAAGGGATAGTCAGGAAAATGTGAATGTCCTCATCAGATTGTTTTTAAATGAATAGCTCTTAACTAAGGGTTTAAAGATTTCTTACTGCTTGTAATAAGGGAGTATTTTGGCACCTTACTACTAAGAAGAGCCATAATAGAGCTACGATGGAATAAAAAGGAACAACGGATTCTTCCATTTCTATGAGTTTCTACTTGCAGTTCTTTAACTAAATGGGCGCCATTGCAGGACTTCTTTCCATTTGGCTGGAATAACATTCCCACTATGTGGGAAGCTGAAAGAGTTTAACCCCGACATGGAAAAAGTGTCACGATTGTTACAATCCTCTAGAACGACAGCAGTTCTTGCACTGCCTTCAGAAGCATGGTCATGACAGACCAATAGGTAGGTGGTAAGCAGGGTTGTGAGGGGAGTAAACATGCATCTTGATATGCATTTAATTGCTAGAAAATAGGAAGCTGGAGGGGTGTTGGATACTTGCATGGCTGGCTCTTTATAGGAAATAGGTTCTAGAAAGATAAAATATGCTTTGAAACAGATCAGAATCACTACAATTGTACTCATCAATGATAAACAAGAATTAAATTCTAGCAAAGGCTGAATGCAAATGAATAAGGATGGACAAAATCATGAATTAAAAAGAATAGTTCCAAAAAACAAACCCTCCTCACGGCTTTTTAAGCATTTTGTTTCATCTCATACTGGTCCCTGATAAATGCTTACATGATTAAATGGACAGCATCCCAAGAATAACCATAAAAGAAATATTTTATATGGCCTGTGGTTTCATCATTTACTCTTGTTATTCTGAGCACAAGTGTGTGTATAGAGGAAAAAGACTCCAAACAAAATCATGTTAAAATGTACAATATTTTCCTCTATTCTCCTCTACATTGGCTCTGTTACAATTATGTCCAAACTAAGGCACTGAGGAGAAGGAAGAGGAAGAGGAGAAGAAAAAAAGAATGTAGAGGGAAAGAGGAAAACAGAACAGTGGGTGAAGAGAGAAGCTGATGCTATCAGGATGGCCTAGAGAAGTACAGGCAATGGTTGTCTTCATGATAACTGAAGCTCAATTCTGCACTGAAATGCCAATCAGTGCAATCCTTCAATAAGCAGTGCTTAGCAGTGCATCCTTATGGAAGATTGCTGAACTCAAATTCATTTCTTTCTGTCACTCATCAGTGAATGGTGAGTACAGGACTGCAGTTTAAACTTTTTTTTTGGCCAGAGAGCCTTATCTAAAGTATATATTATCTTCAATGTTTAAAACATATAGTAATGACATCAATAAATTACAATTCCAGTTTGAGTTAATGTTAGTTATCTGAAATTAAGTGCCAAATTAAATACTGTATGTATTAAAGATTTCCTACTTCATGCCTGTTTGCTCCTTAGATCTCTTCCTGTATCTGTAAAAAAACTGATCATTAATTCTTTCTTGTGCAACAATGCCAGCTGGTGGCAAGTACTAGTAATGACAGCCATGCCAGTCTTTACATGTCTGTTTTCTCTGAGGTGGACCTAACTAGAACTTTTCTGTCTTCTCCCTATATCCATGATGGCGAACCTATGGCACGCGTGCTAGAAGTGGCACGCAAAGCCATTTCTCTGGGCATGCAAGCCGTCGCCCATTGCTCTTCCGGGTTCCGCCATGCTAGCCAGCTGGTCTTCACGCGCATGGAAGCGCCGGAAACCAGAAGAGCAGCTGCCCAGTGCGCGCATGCATGCCAGCCACCTGGTCTTCTGGTTTCTGGTGCACATGCGTGCATGAAGACCAGCTGGCCGGAATGCATGTGTATGCCGGAAACTGGAAGATCAACTTCCTGGCATGCGCACTGGGCAGCTGCTCTTCCAGTTTCTGGCACTCCTGAGCTGTGAAGACCAGCTAGCCAGCGTACCAAAACCCAGAAGAGCAACGGGTGATGGCTCGCGTGCCCAAAGACATGGAGAGGGGATCCCAGCAGTTGCTTCCTAGGGGAGCAGAGCTAACAGCCAGGATGGGCGGGCTGTGGCTTCCCTCACTCCCTGTCTGAGTGGGCGTCTTGCGCAGCTCCAGTCCTCCAGCCTGCGGCTCCACCGCACATCCATGGTCCAGAGCGCCTGGCTGGCTTGGGTGCATAGGCCAACGTTAGCTAGCTGGGCGGCCAGCCACCCTGCCCACTGCTCCTGCTGGGGGTGAGGGGCCGGGAGCGGTTCTCGCGCTGCCACTTCTAGCTGGGATGCTGGAGCAGAGTTGGGGCGTAGCTCTCTTGCCTGCTGACCCCCCAATCCAAGCCCCAGGACTGCCCTCCAAGTCTGGGAAGGGGCTCCGGCTTTCCAGCGGAGGGAGATGGCATTCCCCCCGCCCAACTTTCTCTCCCTGTTCAGGGCTGTGGAACTGAGTTTTTGGTGGGGATATCCTGCTACCCCAACAGGGACCAGGGGAGCAGGCAGGGAGGTGCGAGGGCCCCCAAAAGGCAAGGTGGAGCCGGTGGAGGGCCCCTGCATGCGGGGCTCATCCCTCCTCCACTGCTGACTGCTTCGATGCCCCCCGCCACCCTTTTCCCCCCATGACCCAGGCGAATTTTCACATTTGAATTTTGAGACTCTCCCGTGCGCTGGCCAGCTGCTCTTTGCACTCGCATACACACCAGAAACCGGAAGACCAGGTGGTCAGCGCGCATGTGCATGGCAGAAACCGGAAGATTATCTTTCCAACGTGTGCATGCACACTGGGTGGCTGCTCTTTGGTTTCAGGCATGCACACGTCTGCGCTCCCCTTTCAGCACTTGGTGCTGAAAAGGTTCGCCAACACTGCCCTATATCATCAAGTGTATCATCACTGCTCCCAATGAATAGGAATACCCAACTGCTATTTTTCTTTAGGAGCTATTCTTGGGCACACAACATACAGCATCCCAAAGAAAGATGTCAATCATTAACAATGAATTAATTTTATATTGCATCCATAAGTACCACTTGCTTTAAAGCATCCCGAAGAACAATTAGACCAGTACATTATTTTCTGAAAACAGGTTAAAGGTAAAAGTTTCCCCTGTCCAGTTGTGTCCGACTCTAGGGGGCGGTGCTCATCTCTGTTTTCTATGGTAGCTGAGGCAGTCAGCATTTCCATGGTCATGTGGCCAGCATGACTGAGGCACACGGATTGCTGTTACCTTCCCACCAAAATGGTACCTATTTATCTGTTCAAATTTGCATGTTTTTGAACTGCTAGGTTAGCATACATATTAATACATTTATTAGAAGTGTTCTCATAAAACTATTTTTAGCTATCATTTTTCTCCGGGAAGTGCGATTTTTAGCATAGATATACAATGCAGTGTCAAATATGCAACACGGATAATAGCCTAAAAGTATGCCTACCTGGTAATAGATAAATTAATAATGTGGCAGTTTCACCAAGGAATGCAGGCAACACTACTGTATGTTTTCACAAAGACACCAATGCTTAAAAAAATATCAATAGCCAAGGTCTACTTTAGTCATTTTTAACTACAGTAATCCAATTTAAAAGCTTGCAGTGCTGGATGGCTGGAATATGCCAAAGGCAGGAATGCTTCTTTTCATATATTCTTTATACAGTAATTTCATTCTGGTTGAGAGAGCTGAACCAGCAGCTTCTTACTTTCCCCATCAGATTACCTCCTTGTTTTCTATGCAACTGTTGTTGCTCCTACATAAATCTTCTTTAACTATTTTAGAAAGAAATGGCCAGTGCCTGAACCAACCTAACTCATTTGTCTTCGAATAAAAGGCTGATACCTTGACATTGTGCTTATACATCTGACTTATCCCAGCACCTAATTCAAAATCTTGGCTCAGGTTGGCACTCTGTGGATTCAACTTTGGTTTCCTATGAGGCACAAGCCAATCAATAATTAACTTGAATGTTGGCTGCTGCTTCTTTTCTCTTTTTGGTGAAAAACCCCCCACATGCAAATTAAAATCTTGTAACAGTAAATTACCTGAAATATGAAGGATATTCAAAGCCTAGAATGAAGAAAGGTATTTTGTTTGTTACCTCACAGAGACCCCTGTGACCCCTTAGGGATTTAAAAAAAAAAATCAGTTTAGATATTTTTAGCACTGGGTACATTGCTTCTGGTGGCCTCCTTTTCCTGGTTTCTGGCACAAGGGTTAATACTATAAGTTTTTCCATATTCTCTTTGGGATGAATGTATTTTTGGCAGCAACAGATAATGGGATTTAAAAGGTTTCAGTCAATGCTTTTTCGATACCAGCATTGTGAAGTCCAGTTGTAGAGCCCAGGAGCTATTTTCTCAAGTATATTTGAAGAAGAGAGCTATCTTCTTGAGAAGCATCTTCATCCAGTCCTGAAAAGAAGGCACTTTGGGTACAGATGTGACCTGCCTGAGAGTGGCTTTTGCAGGGTCCTTGAGGTTTGTTGTCTGCCAAATACAAATTTGTAGTAAGATAGATGCAGGAAGAAGTGAGAGGTAAACCCCATAGCTTTTCCATTGGTTATTGCTATTAAAAACAACTATCAGCCCTGAATTCCAGTGTCACCAGGATTTCTGCCAAGCATAGCTTTAAAGAGAAGCATCTGACTGCCAGCTAGAAAGTCAAAAATTCCAGTGTACGACTTGCAACACATCTAGATAGAATTCCTTTTCAGACAGATCCAGTGTTTCCATTTTAGAATAGGACTTCTAACATCATTGGTAAGAAATTTGCATTAAAAAGCTGCTTCATTGACTTTCTGGGCACCAAGATTTGTTTCCAGTCAAGCCATATCTTTCAGTTCTGAGATGTCTGTTCTGAAATAGACTGAACACAAGCATGGTCAAGCCTAAAATTTTAAAATCCAGTGTACTCAGAGGCCAGAGGAATTCTAGCATCCTACAGCAAATCAAGAAAACAAAATGCCTCTGTATTTCCTTGTTTTGCTTGTGGCTTCCCAAAGTATGACATTCTAAGATTAACCTCCATCTGCTAGGAAGGAAACCAAAGTAACTCAGGCCCAAAGGAAGAGATTATCAATTAGAAGCAACTAGTCAGGGCATGGTGTTCTTTGAAAAGAGCATTCAGTCAAATGAGTCTTGGAGCCCATCGTTTTTCTGCTTCTATCAAAAGGGTGCAGGTGTTCCTGAGACTCATTCACAGAGCCAATAAAACTGGAAATAGTAGTCATTAAAGAGAGAACCCATCTGCTCCACAGGGGTACTGCAGTTAGCTTGGCCCTGTGAGGAGGGAATGGAAAAAAAAATAAGGTTCAAGGGAAATGAAGGTGTTTTTTTTTTTTTTTTTACTGAGAGGAACTCTTATCTTGAGGGAATCATGAAGTTTTGCAAATAGCCATCATTATCAGAAACAATTTACCTTCGGCGAAACAAACCATGGAGAGTTGGTCGGATCATTAGCTCAAAACTATTACTGGAAGTTCAAATTTAAAGTCAAAGTAAAAAGTGAGCTCATACTCTGAGTGGGTCCCTAGAACTCTTGGATCACTAGAACTCTTCTCTGATTTTATGAAAGAAGGCTAATTTCCTGTGTGTTTTCAAGGCACAGAAGCTTTTATACTGATATCTTGTGTCAGTAAATCACACTTCCCCAACAAGCTCCAGACTTTTAAATCTGCTCCCTAAAAGTTCAAGTCTCTCCTGTGCTCTCACACAAGTAGTTGCACTAGAATAGTGTTTCTCAACCTTGGCATCTTTAAAATATGTGGGTTTCAATTCCATGCTGGTTGGGGCATTCTGGGAGTTGTAATCTACATATCTAATAGTTGCCAGGTTGAGAAACTCTGCACTGGTGCAAAAACAGCAACCCCAATACTGTGGCAAGAAATTTCATAGTGTTCTTAAAGCCTCTCAATTAGGAACATATTTTTCTCTACCGAAGATTAATCCTAAAATGAAATAAGCATGCCTGTGAAATCTAGACATTCTCCTTCCCATGGATACAGGATCATTTCTTATCTATACCAGACTTATCAGAAAGGAATTTAAATATGGGATATTCACACCATTCTTGTACATATTGCTATATGTGGATATTCGTTTGTCTCATTTAACAGTTTACAATTTTCGTTCACTCAAGTGCCCAGCTTAACGTGATGCCAAAGGGAGATTTGTTACCAAAGGGCAACTTCATTGCTTTGGTTACATTCATTTTTTTTTCACTCTAAAAACTAATATGCCTTACAAATGTATCCTGAAGAGGACATGGCAAGCATTGATACTCACAGGCCTAGCTAGTCGGAAATGGTAAGTAAATTCCTGGAATGGCATCATGACCACAGGCCAACGGTATGTTGCTCCCTAGGAAAAAAACAACAACCAGTACCTGGGATGAAAGAAAGCTATTGCTGCTGTTTAATATTGCCCCATTTCCCAGACTGTCAAGACGAATTGCATCTCCTTTGCTCTCTGCTCCCACATTTTAGCAAGAAACTGATGTTAGAGAACAGTAGAGAGGAAGGTACCATATATACTTGGGATAAGCCAAGAACTTTATGTGCCAAAACACACCTCCAAAACGGAGTTTGGCTTATCTGCGAGTATATACAGTAATACATTTTAAAAGTACCTGTCTACAGTAACTCATATATACTTGCATCTAAGCCTATCCATGGATAAGCTAACTCTCAAATTTTTAATCAAAATATGAAACATATTTTGTTTCATATTTTGAAACAAAATATGCTATGGATTATACATGGATAATCCATAGCTTATCCATGTATAAACTATGAAAATTAAAACATATGAGCATTTCAAGGTTCATCTTATTTACAGATGGGTTTATATGCTCAAACTCTTATGTTTCTGTTTTGAAAGGGACAAGGGGAGAGAAGGGGAAATGAAAAGAGATAAGAGGAATCAGTGTTATGGTCATTTTTTTTTTTAAAAAAAAGGTTACTAAAGAGTGATTTTCAAGAAACTAAGGCAATGATATCTATTCCAAACAAAACTAAGATCGGTCTAAGAACATAACAAATTGAACCCGATTTTCTATTATAAACAAAAAACCTAGATGCAAATACATTATCTAGCAGGTAAGCACTTATTTTGTGAGATATCTTTTTCTTTTTTAAAAAAATACCTGAATATCTGTTGCATTAGACAAGTTGTCTAGATTATTTCCAGTGTGCAGACATGGGCTGTTGGATGTGAGTTTACAAAGATAGCCAGATATAGCTGAGGAAGCACTGAGAGGAAGGAAAGAAAGCAACAACGATGAGCAGGTCATTTTCAATACAGCCTTCTCTTGGCATTGGTAATAATATAAATGCCACTATTTACAGTATATTGGCCTATGAATTAATGTTCTTATTTCATTGTAAAGTACTCTTTCTCACTCTGCACTTTCACCCACCAAAAATACACAACTCCTAATTGTATACCATTATACCAGGCTTGGACTTGAAATGGAAGAAGGAATGCACCATAGCACTGGGATCAGTGGTGGGTTTCCTCCCGGTTCAGTCCGGTTTGGCTGAGCCGGTAGCGGTGACTATATGACATCACCGAACCGGTTCTCCCCCCCTGCCCTCCCCCCCACATTATTCTTATCTTTTATTTGGTCCCACCCCCGATCGATTGCTGCCTCCTGAGTCCCAGCTGATGACTAGAGGGAAAAAAACTGTTTAAACTCTTGCTGCGGGGCTTCAAAGGGCCGTCCTATAGCTGATCAGTGTTAAAAGCAAACAAATGAGTCGGGTCGTAAGTGCGAGGATTGGTCGTAAGTGCGAGGACCTTCCAGAAATGACTCTGACCAGCTAGCCACGCCCACCTAGTCACATGACCTCCAAGCCACACCCACAAAATAAGCCAAGCCCACAGAACCGGTAGTAAAAAAATTTAGAGCCCACCCCTGACTGGGATGCATTCCCCCATCTTCTTTTCTCCTTTGCCCTTTGAAATATCTCTCCGGAGTCTTTTCAGAGGTGCTATTGTTTTGCAGGCAGGAAGAAAAGACTGAAAGTCTTTCTTGTGTTACAGCAGAAAGCAAAGTATTTGGGGCTCCAAGGAATAACGGAGCTACATTTTGCGAAGTTATTTTGAACAGATCTAAATCCTGAAAGTGGTAACTGACAAGCCACTTCTCTAATTTCCTCTTTGCTTTCTATGAAACATTTTATAGGATACATTAGATACAATCCAAAAACTGAAGACTCCTTGATCCAAACCGCTCTGGTTTTCCAGGTCTAACTATACAGACGAATATCACAGTGGAGTAAGGTACACAAAGGAACAAAATGGTCTTTTAAGAATACAGAAGATGCCTTGCATTAAAGCAACACTGGCCCATCATCAGATTAGGATCATTAGGCAATATGTGGTGTTTCAGATGCAGCTGGCCTACAACTCCCAATGATCTATCCATTCTGTCCTGACAGTAGTTTTCTAGTACTTATTTATTTAATTCATTTGCCACCTATCTCACCATGGGGCAATTCTAGGCAGCTGACAATAATCAGCAGCATCTGCAACAGTGGAATATTGGAGTGTAATGAAGGAGGTTTTGCAGCACCAACTGGAGATGTCAGAGACCAAACCTGATTTTTTGGGGGCACCGGGGGAACGGGACACATAAAATGTATGTGCTCTGTCACTGAGCTACAAAACCCTTCCCTTTCGACAGACAGAGTTTCTTCTGTGTTATGCCTAACTTTCTATCTTCAGCATGTGAGGATATGAAATACATAGCATCCTCCCAGAGTAGCACTGACACTTTAATTTTTGACTGTGGCCATTTTAGGATTGTTGCAGCAAATGGCTCTGTAATTATGAGATGAGAAGTGGCATAGAAATATAGGTAAATGAACCACCACAAAGAAGTATCTGCCTTTCTGTGAAATCTCCAGTCCTGTGAGGAAGGGAAGATAAGGAGGTAACCAGATTTGATTTAAAAAGTGCCTGGTTGTCAAGACTCACCAAAAGCCTGTTCCCCCATCTTCCTCATGACTCAGTACTATTTTCCTATGAATTATATTGAGAATAGTACTCTCAATTTGTGAAATGATAGCAGATATCACATCTTTATCAACTATTCATATCATTTTGGAATTCTCCTTTCTCAATCTGATTTCCTATTAAACTGTTTTAGCTTTTGCATTTTCTACAATATTCTTTGCCAGAATCTGTGTTTTCCCAAAAGTTTTTACTTACTTCATTTCCAAAGTAAGATTTGTGTTCACTGATGTAAATTTGCTGATGGGAATACGATAAGTGATGTTTCCAGACCTGCAGGAATAAACAAACAAACAAAAAAGATACCTCAAATTTTTGCTTATCTTCATACTTTCCTGCTGTGCTTTGCATGTATTCACTCAAATACGATTCCATCATTTGTCACTGGTAATATGGTAACCAAGATGCATGGAAAAATCCTAAATTGGTATATTTAGTTATCTGGATGACACAATTTCCTTCCTAGGAATCTGATCTTTAAATCTGATGTATGCAAAAAATGCCTACGGTGGAATACTGGAGTATAAAATTAACTGAATTTCCAAAAATAGCAAAGCTGACCAGATTGGTCAGAGAAAAGACAATAAGGACATTTTTGAAAGATGAAGCTGTATGTGGACTTTTTGTTGAAAGAAGGAAAAAATGACTTGATAATTACACAATTTGGAGGTTAAAAAGGGATGGAGAGTTGGAGAAAACTTTAAAATGATTATTACTTGACCAAAAAAAGGACAGAAGGTCATAAATGTTTTTTCTTTCTCTTTCTCTCTTATCCTCTATTTTTTATTTTCTATCTTTGTTCTGGTTTGTTTTGTATATTTTACTACACTGAAAATTTCAGATAGAAATATATTACAAAAAAGAACTCCCAGTCTAACAAAGCTTATTATGGCTGCCATGCTCCCACTTACCTGCAATTGTCCCCTGTAGCACAGACTTGGGGTAAGATGACCACATTCGCCTCCAACAGTGACACAGACTGGAGCACAGGTGCTGTTTCTACAGGACATAAATGATCAAGATGGATTAGGAGCTTACTCTGCATAGGAAGTTCCACAAAATGCTAATCATTCTAAAGGGAAAGGTTTAGTACTGTGATCTTCTAACTAATGCAACCGTATATATTTCTGCCTAAAACCAAGCCAAAGGGAAATCAGATAGTTTGGAATGGGATTCATAAGCCATGCCTGCTAAGAATGTATGTGTGCCATCACCTCACAAAGCTTTACATGCAGCATAGGGCACAACAGGAACAGGCAGTGTAGCCAAGGAAGATCTGGCACAGATGGAAAAATAACAGGTGTTCTCCTGTTTGGATATGATTATACTGTATATACATCAATGTATATATATTTTGTGTGTTAATGTATAATGTATATACATCCACAGCTTTTACCATTCTGTAGCCTCCAGATGTCCTAGGATGACCATTCCCATAGTCCAAGTCATCAGAGTTTGAAAAGAAACTATACTAGCAAATGTAATGGCTGGTAGTAATGAGCATGTTCTGGAGGAAAGTAAAGAAGGAATTAAAGATGTACAAGATAATATTAAGGAGGTGCTTGCAGATAGTTAAAACATATGTGAAGAATTTGTAGCTCAAGAACGGTGGGAAAAAAGGTTTCAGAAGCCTTGGCTGGTTCATTGCAACTCAAATCTTCCCTGCTTGCCTATCAGGGGTTCTTTCAAGTCAGACCTGACTCTTGATGATTGCCTGGGCTGATCCTTGCAGTTTTCTTGGCAAGTTATTTATTTTTTTCAAAAGAGGTTTTCCCTTGCCTTTTTTTTAAAGACAGAGTGTGTGACTCACATTCTATGTGTCTAAAGCAGGATTATAACTCAAGCCCTTCTGGTTTCTAATCTGATGCATTAACCACTGCATCAAAGTGGCTCTTTCCTACATGCCCAACAGGCTAATCATTAGTCAACTGGGGAGAGCCAGATTGCAGTAGGGAGGAGGAGATAGGCACACATGCAAGAAACAAGGGGTGACTGGGCTGCTGCTGCTCTTGGCCACACTACTATGAGGCCTCTGAACCATGATCTATTCCTGCATGTTGTCTTTGGGGGCAAAACATTTTTCCTTCTTCTGTTAAACAATGCCTGTTTGTTTGCTTATTTATTTGATTTATATGTATTCCCCTCTCATCTCTGGATCATATACCAGGCTAACATTTTAACATTTTAACAACAACATTTTAACTACTCAAGCCCTAACGCCCAAGATCACAAATAATAATGCAAACTTATAAGAAAGCAGCAGTCAGTGGCAGATCTTGACAATCTCCTGGCCCAAATGCCTGGGGAACAGCCAGGTCTTTAATGCCTTATGAAAGGCTAAAAGGGCTGAGGTCATCTGAAATTCTGGAGGGATGACATTCCATAAGGCAGCCACAGAAAAACACAGTTCCTGGGTCCAACAAGAAGACATTGTTTAACATGCCACACTGCTAGATTTGGTGGGATGAGCAGAGATGGTGGAAATTGTCTCTATTCCCAAGTAATCAGGGAAAATAGGAAATATGTCTACCATTATGCTTCATTCTTACGATGCCAGGCTCCTTAGCATCTGGTTGGCTGATGCTCCGTCGCTGCCGTGATGTCTGATCGGAAGGAAAGCTGTTGTATGTGAGGGGGAGGTTGGCAACATATTTGGACTTGCCCTGGATGTTAGTGAAGAGGGAGGAGGGGCTGGCATTGGGACCCCCAAAGTCCCGTGATCGGTCAGAAGTCTTTGGCCACTTTGTGTGGGAAGCTGTCTTGCCGCTGATCCCCCTTGATTTGGCTTTGATGTTTGTCACTGGTAGGAGTGACACGAAGCTTTGGTCTATGAAGAGCAACAAAATAAAAATTAATAAAGCTAATTTGAGAAGGGACCAGCAATGGACAGATAGATAAGAGCCTAAGGTGTGATAACTAAGACAGCATAATTCTCAGAAATGATAAACCTGTGGCTATTTTCTAACACTGTAGACTCAGTTAGACAAACTTCAATTTTTAATATAGATGAAAATTCCCTTAGGAGAGTTTCTGTGAATTCTGGCGTTTTAGTCAGATGTACAGTACATTCTCAGTGAAGTTTCTTAACACAAATATAATTTCATATAAAAACATCTTTGTAGAAAATGCATCTGTACGAACTGGTTTGCACTAGGCAACTGATAGAAAAGCCAGAATTATTGATTAAATCTTTACACACATTGAATTTATCAATTTCCATAAGAAAACCAAAATCATTCTCTAATATTTAAATATTCTTGACCATTGTATTCTGGAAATTCCAAAAAGAATGCAACAATTAGGTATAAGTAGGGGAACCTACTTATAGGCTCCCCTACTTATACCTACTTATAGGTATATAAGGTTATATAGGTATATAAGATATACTTATACCTATACTTATAGGTATAGTAGATAACAGATTAACAGAGTTGGAAGGGACCTTATAGGTCATCTAGTCCAACCCCCCACCTAAGCAGGAGACCCTACACCATTTCTGAGAAATGGCAGTCCAATCTTTTCTTGAAAGTCTCCAGTGATGAAGCTCCCACAACTTCCGAGGGCAAGCTGTTCCACTGGTTGATTGTTCTCACTGTCAGAAAGTTCCTCCTTTTCTCCAGGTTGAATCTCTCCTTGATCAGTTTCCATCCATTATTCCTTGTCTGGCCCTCAGGTGCTTTGGAAAATAGCTTGACCCCCTCCCCGCCCCTCAAATACTGGAACACTGCTATCATGTCTCCCCTGGTCCTTCTCTTCACTAGACTAGCCATGCCCAGTTTCTGTAACCATTAGTCATATGTTTTAGTCTCCAGTCCCCTAATCATCCTGGCTGCTCTCCTCTGCACTTTTTCTAGAGTCTCAACATCTTTTTTATAGTGTGGTGACCAAAACTGAATGCAGTACCCTAGGTGTGGTCTTACAAAGGCTTTATAGAATGGTATTAGTACCTCACTTGATCTTGATTGTATCCCCTTGTTAATGCAATTTAGGATTGTATTGGCTTTTTTGGCTGCCGCTGCACATTGCTGGCTCATATTTAGTTGGTTGTCCGCTAAGACTTTTAGACCCCTCTCACAGTTACTGCTATTAAGCCTGGTTTCACCCAATTTATATGTGTACTTTTGGTTTTTCTTACCTAAGTGTAGGACTATACTTTTCTCTTCATTGAATTTCATTTTGTTAGATAGGGCCCAGTGTTCAAGTCTGTCAAGATCCATCTGGATCTTTCCCAACAGAATGATCTTTCCTAACAGAATGATCTTGAAATAAAATGATTAAAAACCCCAAGAGTAATGTTTTGAAACTGATTCAGTTTTATGTACAGTAAATAATGATGCTAATATGGCTTCATCACCCAGATCTTCTTTGCTTCCTTCTATTAGGCGAGAAGAAAAAAAATATTCACAGAAAAACATTCATTTACCTGATGAAAAAAGCTCTTGACACTGAGCTTTGGTTTGCTCAAAACCATTGACAGTCTTGCTCTAATTCCTCCTTTTGGCTATATGAAATTAAGGCAGCGGATCTTTTCTTTTAATGGCTACAATACTTGTTTAAAGAATTGATTCTGTGAATGTAGATTGTTTACTCCTAGATTGCCAGGTGTACAAATACCTTCTAATAACCAAAGGTATCCAAAAACTAGTAGAAAAATTATTATTATATAACCACATCCTCGTTATTCGGCATGTACATTTAACTACTGTAGAGAGTTTGTGTAAGAAGCTATGGTGTGATATAGCAAATAAATATCTATTTGGCAGTAGATAAGGATCCATTTAACACAACAGTATAGCAGAGAACTACCTACAGCATTTGGGGAAATAGTGTAACTAAATGGTGCAGAACAACATTCACACAGAAAATGAACTACACCAACAAGACATTTGGTCATCTAGATTCTCTTCCCTCACTCCCAAAACTTGGCTCTACTTCTGCATATTCAGGAAATAATGAATGAATATGAATTATTGCTGCAACTACAGCACCATTTTGGGGGTGGGGGGTGGAATGCTCGGGTGCTCTGCCTTTAATGGTCTTGACCAAGAGTTAATGCATAGGTTCAAATCTGAAATTTCAACAATTGCATATATACTTTTGAAATGTCCTATTATCCTTGGAGGATGTACTTAATCTCTCTTCTAAATTTAATTTGTTCAGAGCAATTCCAGGAAGCAATTGTTTGCTTCCTATTAAATAACCAACACTGTGGCCAAATTCTGCAATGGCAATTAGAAATCTCTGGTTCTGAGCACAACGCAGGCATGCTTAGCTTGTGCTGTAAGTGGGGTTTTAGCTTAGGTAATTTCCATTTTAATGTTCTTTCCTACTTTTCGGTCTACAACTGTAAATTCTTAAATAAATAAATAGGACCAAATGGTTTTACCTATCCGGTTGGTGGCGACTGTAGTGGTCCCAGAAGGTCCAGGAGTAGATATGTTGTTGGGAACAGAAGAACAACAGGTAGAAAAACAAGGTGGGTTGGAACAGACTACTATGTTATAGGCAGGCAAGGCAGGGGACAAGTCAGGTACATGGGTTGTGGCTGTGAGAAAAGAATAACAGAATCAAGATTAGTTGTGTCAAATCCAAAACCAGCATCAATTAGCTTCCTGCACTAAATATATAATTCATAAAATTATGTTTTAATTTAACTTTTCTTTCAATCTGGATGAATTCCCTGGTACCTACCATTCTCAGAAGGGGAAGCATTGTTGGGGGTATTCGATGATGCAGTAGTGGAAAATGTCATCTTATTTTTATCTATGTTCTGACCGGACCTAAAATGCAAGAAAAATGCAGGCATGAAGTTTTGACCAAAAACAGAAACAGATGTCTAGCAAAGGGAAGAGATGCAATAAGATAGAGGCTGTGCATGAGGTCACATTTGAAATGAGAAGATGACTTAAAACTATTGCAAAAATAAAAAGGAGGGGGCAGGAAACAGGATGGAAAGTAGAATTATTGTTCTGAATGAACAGAGATCTACATATGAGCATAGTTGGACAAAGTAACAAAGGGCGAATGGGATAACATTGCTTTAAATCAGTTCTAAACCCACCCCTTTCCACTGGAAAACAGAAAATTCTGAAAACAGATAACTCTTAGGATGAGATTGCAAGCATAATTAAGAATTTGATAAATGGTCCTGGTTCCAACCAAAATACAATCCTCCCTGGTCTGCTAACTGTTAATGTTTTCTATCTGATGACACCCATTTACATTATTCAGCACACAGCCACATAAACATATAACTGAACATCACATTTTGCAAGCATAGAAATGGTCCAAGGAATCTGAGAGTTGTTTACTTTCCTAGTACAGTCCTAGATCCTTTACATTCCATTAAATGCTGCCTTGTTAGCTGCATCAATGGAGGATGATATCAGCCTATGAATTTGGGGTGAGAACTTTATGGCATCCTGCTTTCAGTCTGAGTGCAACCCAAAACTATTTAGTGAAATACAATTCATTAAAAATGAGGATGATTTCTTGCAATTAAGAACTGCACTTTCAATCTTCCTATTTTTCAAGTTATACTTTTGCTTATACTTATTCAAACTAAATGTGACTTTAACACATTATTTAAGCTTGGTTTCAGTATACCAATTTAAGCCTTATAAAAACTCTTTCCCTGTTCGCCTTTGTTGAGGAGAAGCAACACTAAAATGCAGACAGATATAAAAAGAAGGGAGAATGCATAAAAATACAAGGCAGCAGATTTGAAAGAATAGGACAAATGTATTGCAGCATATTGAAAAAGTAGGACCCTACCATGGACAGAGAGCAACTGGGACGCCAGGACCTCTGTGCTGAAAAAGAGCCAGAAGGCAAGAAGTAGGCACAGCAAAAGAGCTACAAGGCACCGAAAACAGAAAAGGAAAGGAGGAATGGAACAACCAGGCAAGGGAAATTGTAACAAAGAGCATTTGATGGGAAGAGTAGGCAGAGAGGGATTTGGGGAGATAAATAAATGGAGCAAAAAAAAGCAAGCAAAGGGAGGGAAAGAGAAAGGTCAATTTAGTAATTAACATTCCACTGTGAATTATCCAAAATACATCATTTCAAACTGGTATACAGCTAGGATATGTGGACAATTACATAAAACAGCACAGGTTCTAGAAACTGATCAATGACTATTTACAACAGATCCTAAATATGATGTGCAACAGTGTACCTGTACACATTTCATGGTGTTTATATACATTTGTTATAGAATCTATAAATTGGAAAAAATTCTAAGAAGTGGTCATGAAAAGAAATATCCTAAACATATACCAGTGTCAGTTGAAAGTCATAGCTTGGCAGCGTGTAAGGGATGCAGGCATTCAGCTGCTGCTGCCTACCCTCAATACCCTTTACTGTATTATTCTTTTGTCATCCCAAAATGGTAAGGCTGGCTCCAAACATCTGCATCAAAAATTCCTTAAGAATTTTCCCTCAAGTCAAATGGGAGTCCAATTACTTTTCAAAGCATATGACCAGGAAGAGGGAACATACCCTTCAATATCCACAAGGTCTTCCTCACTGCGGTAACTTAGCACATAGAGTGTAGACATGGACACCACACTATGAAAGAGAAAACATCAAATAAAGTTTCTAAAAATAGGGTTTCTGTGTTTCAGACAGAATAGGAGCTCTACCCTAACAGGCTGTTTTTGTTTGTTGTTTATATTCATGAATGTAAATGACTTTGACTGAAAAAGTGTTCTACTTCACAAGCTTATTCCTATACTCTCCAATCTCTTTTCCAATATCTACAAAGCATCAACTGACTATAACTGCCATTACTATAGTGCAGCTCTTAAAATAGTTTTTACATTGCCAGGACAAAGAATACAAAGAAAAGTCTCACATAGTGATGCATATTTCCATTTAATTCTCACTGATGAAAGCACCGTGGTGAAAAGATGATGACGATTTCAGAAGAAATAAACTACCGTGTTTTGTGGAATATAAGACACATTTTTACCCCCTAAAATAGGGTGAAATTTTGGGTGCATCTTATACATTGAATGTAGCCCTGCCCACCTGCTAGCCCACCCTTTGGCCTCCGTGCGTACTCTCAAATGGAGCTTTTGGAGCTCCTCTCAAACGGAGAGATTAGAGATTATGGCGATTGGTAATATTGGTTATATACCAGAAAAAACAGAAGGAAAATAAAACAAAAAGATTAGAGAGAAAGAATATTATGGCAAAAAGTGAAATATATAAATTGTGTTGGAGAAAACTAAAAGCCATACAAATTTTGACTCGGCCAATACACTGTTCAGAAAAAATATATTGTTTGTTTGTTTGTGTTTGTTTTGAAAAACAAATAAAAAACTTTTCTAAAAAATAATAATGGAGAGCCTCTCAAACAGCTTCCAAAAGCTCCATTTGAGAGATTGCCTTTGCAGCCTCCAAAAGCTCCAAAAGCTCTGTTTGAAAAGGAGCTTCTCTTTGCAAAGGCAGCCTCTCAAACGGAGCTTTCGGAGGGTGAAAAAGCAAGGCATGGAGGCCAAAATGGCAACCTGGAATAGCTGCTGCCTTGTTGGACCGGTTCCGCGTTTCCCCTGCTGTACTCACTAGAGCTCCCTGCGACGATCAGCTGCGTTTTTGAAGCTGAGTATCTGCCCCAACGAGGCGCATGCACGCTCACAACCAGCGAACCTGTTGCTAAAGTTCACCTCTGGGAACAGCTGATTGGGGGTATTCTGGGAGCTGATCCACCCACTAATCAGCTGCTCGTGCTGAATCAGGCTAATATGCTGAAGCTGACTAGGCTGTTTGTTAAGGACGCTAGCCAGATGAATACCGATGGATGCTGGTAGGCAGAGGCAGATTTTTTTCCCCCTTATTTTCCTCCCCCAAAACTAAGTTTTGTCTTATATTCTGGAGCATGTTATACTCCAAAAAATACAATAATATAAATAATACATATCCGTTTATCTACTCATATCTATTCACTCACTGGCTAACAGGTCTCTCACACATTCTGAGTGCTGCACCAACCCAAGGAGTGCGTAGTAGCCCAAATGTGCAGTCCCTCACCTGAATGCCATGATCACCACCAAAGCAATAATGGTACCTTGCAGAAAACGTTGACTGATGCAAGCCTGGTCTTTGACTCCTTGTGGGGGAGGCTGCACAAAATAAAAGCAAAGGGACAAATCATGTCAAATGTCTGCTCGACAAATTTAGTTTTGAGTCTTATAGGTTGCTTGTCATCTTGTTAATAGCAAACTGTACTTTCTATGGAATCTTTGGAACTCTTATCTAAACCTTTCCAAGGAAAAATAAATATTCACAAATCAATTAATGGGAAATGTCACATAGGCTAAGGAATGGCAGAGCTACATGGAGGGCAAGGCAAGTATTTTAAAGTAGAAATTACAAATCACTAAAACAGCTGCTGGATGAAACGGAATTCGAGCACCAGCTCATAAAAGAACTTTGCATCAAGGAGTGTATCACACATAATACAATTCTTACCCACATCAACTATGAATTTATATTCATAGCCGATGAATATAATTTACAATATGAATCCATATTATTTAGAAATGACAGAGGATAGCATATTAACATTTGCAGAATAGGCTGGTGTTTACTCAACAGTGTAATATACATGCTGAACAAACATGACATTGCTCAGAACTCAAACAAATCTTTTGCTTCCATATCTTCAAGTATCACAGAATTTGTACAGTAGGAGAATCAGAGAATCAGCTCCCACATCTCCTACCAAAGACCAGAAATTTCCAATGATACCTCCTTTAATACAGAAAATCAGACAAATTACGTATCTTTGTAAAAAGTTACCTTGACTGCCACTTTGGGGGACCTCTTTTTATGCGGTATGCTTTCTGCACGGCTGAACTGACTCCCAGCTTGGCTGTATTAAAAAACAAAGTTTATACTTATCCAAATGAGCATTTTTCTTCTTTTACTGCATTTTTGCCCTGGTCATTCTTTCATTTCTAATGGAAGTTGTTCAATAAATAAATAAATAAGTGTGTGTGCGTGTGTTTATGATATGATATATTATAATATTATACAGGGGGGAGTGGAAAGCCACTAAACGAAATGAAAACCATACGTTTTCTTGCACAAGGAACCATTAAAAGTATGAACCTGTCTTCAAATTTGTTGCATTGTTTATCTGATTGTACCATCCTTCTTTGAAAATGTACTACTGAAGGCCTTTTCAAGAATGGGCTTAAAAATATTGATTTACATTCATATATATCTTGGGAGAGTTCGGAAATGTGCCCTATAAACCCTACTGTAGAGAAGAGGTGTGTTCTCAACCATCAGTGGTCCATATGGACACTCATATTGTCTAGGAATTTGAATGGTGCAATATTTTCCTCTTCTCATTAAGGATTAGAGAAATATCACGATGATGCTCTTAATTATGGTAGAAGGAGAGAAAAGAAGTCCTTTCCTGCTCTCTTGGAAAGGGAACTCAATCTTCAGCTTGGAAAAACACCTGAATCTATTCCAAATCTCTTTGAGCTTCTCTATTACTTCAAATCTTAATATAATTACAAGTGCCACTGTACTCAATGTAGCCTCCTCCTAAATCATAGGATTGCAACCTACATGTTATTTTTGTGATAGAGAATTAAATCTGTCAACAGTCCTTTCCTCCAGGTGGCCACTCCATATTATGATCCAAAGCTGAATAAAACTTATGTTTAAAATTCAGGTATGTGTATTACCTGAATGCTCCAGAGCTTCCAGTTGACTTCATACTGTCCAACCTTTTGAGCTTGGCCAGTTTATGACTCCACCTCTCTAGTTCATCAATCCGGTTCTCCAGGTTGTCAGTCAGTTTGCAGAGCTCCTTCACAGCCCCAACATTTTCCATAAAAATCCGCTCCTGCAATGAGCAAAATCAATGTTTGCTTTTATACAGAGATTGTCTGATGGGCTCAAATCTTTACCTTGTGATTTGGTCTTTTATTTTCAAAGGGTAAGGATGTTTTGTTTTCGCAATTTTTTTTTTTAAAAGAAACTTAACACATCAGGCAAAGTGACTTAACAGACACTTTCCTCAATGTGGACGTTTGCAAAAATCTTTTCACTCTGCAAAAGTTGTAGAGAAAAAAGTGGATACAGAGACTTTGCAATGAGGCAACTTATGTAAAAGTCTATCCTTGAAGAAAGGATCTCAATCTCAGTGTTGCAATATTTTCAGGATCAGACTCAATAAAGATAATAGGAGTTAGAGCTTTAAATATATTTCTTTTTAATTATGATAGGCATTCTATATTCACTGAATATTCAAGGTAGAAGCAACGAGAATGGTGAGGGTGGCTCCTTATATATACAAGGGGTGGAGCTAGGAATGGGAGTGGTAAGTTTGAATACATTAAAGTCCAAAGAATAAGTTAACCTCTGATGTTCCATAATACATTATTTACACATTGGAGAATAAGGCATTTACATCTGACAAATCCCCCTCTAAATGCCGGTTCGTTACACAACACCAATTACATTCTGATTCAGGACAATATAATACATATAATTTAGAAGTTAAATATTTGTGTTGTTTAGAAGGTAAGGGTTTTGTTAATATGTCAGCTAATTGTTCAGAAGTATCGCAATGTATTGCTTTAATGAATCCGTCTTGAGACAGTTGTCTCACATGCTTAAACTTTATATCAATATGCCTGGACCTTTGTCCAATTGCATCGGATCTGGATATTTCAATGGCCGCTTTATTGTCTTCATGCATAATAAATGGTAAAGTGGGTTTCTTCCAAACATCAGTGATCAGATCATTGAACCATACAAGGTTATTTGCAGCCTTGGACAAACAAACATATTCCGCTTCTGTAGTAGAAGTGGCTACTAGTTCTTGTTTACCAGTATACCAGTAAACTGGACAATCATTCAATAGAAAAACATAACCAGAAGTACTCTTCCTGCATGATGTATCACCAGCCCAATCTGCATCAGCATAACAAGTAATTTTTGGTTCTCTGTCATTATTGGGTTCCAGCATTAAACAAAAATCTAATGTACCCTTCAGATATCTTAGAATTCTTTTGACAGCTTCCCAATGATACAAGGTTGGTTTACTAACATATCTTGACAATAGATTGAGAGGTAATGCAATATCTGGCCTAGTCCAATTAGATATATAAAGGAGTGAACCTATAACTGATCTGTAAAATGTGTTGTCTTTAAACTCAGGGGAAGATTCATCAGTGTTTCTAAGAAAATCAGTTTGCATAGGGGTGTCACAGGTTTTGGCATTATTTAAGTTACATTTGTTTAGGAGTTCGATGATTTTTATCTTTCTGTGTAAGTTTGAATCCCCTTTTAGTTTTGTTAATTTGCACACCAAGGTATTTATTCACTTTACCCAGAGATTTCAGTGAGAAGTGTTCATTTAACTTATTTACAAAGATTTCCCTGCTCTCTTTATGCTTTCCAATGTATAAAATATCGTCCACGTAAATTAATACAAATTCAATATGATCATTACTCTTTTTTACAAAGAAACAATTATCAGCAGTGGTGGCGTTGAAATCCATGGTCTTAAGTACTTTTACCAAGCAATCGTACCATCTTTTGCCGGATTGCTTTAATCCGTACAGACTCTTATTTAATAACCAAATTTCGTTCTTATTAGTGTATTGACTGTGTGGTGCTCTTACATATATTTCCTTATCTAATTTTGCATGTAAGTATGCGGTCTGTATGTCATATTGGAATACGTCCAGATTGAGTGCAGATGCTACTACAAGGGCTGTTTTGACACTCTCTGTTCTCACTGTGGGTGAATATGTATCAGTATAGTCTTCTGGATATTTTTGTGCATAGCCTTGTGCAACTAGTCTAGCCTTGTATAAGGTATTGCCTCCTTCTAAGTTCTTAATTTTATAAATCCACCTGGTACCTATAATTGTTTTATCCTTAGGTGCGATCGCAGGTGTGAATACATTTAATCCTTGTAAACTTTCCATCTCTTTTTCCATAGCTAGTTCCCATTTTTCTCTTTCTTCATGTGGAAGTTTCAATACTTCTTCATATGTATTAGGTGTTATTTGTTCTCCATTCATATGCATTATGTAATCTTTGTATTTATTTGGTATTTGGTTTCTATTGTTTCTAATAGTTCTTTCAGGCTTGCTATGGTTATCATGCAAATATCTAGCTTCCTTTTTTGTTAATGTGTCTGTCTTTATTTTATGCTGACTATTAGTCCAAGTTTTGGTTTTGTTCTTACTTTTGTTAATATTTTGATTTTCTGTTGCTCCTTCCTCGCAAGATATCGTATCTTTACATTTATTAGGAAATATTTCATTAAGGTGCAATTTTGACCAATTGGCCTGTTCATGGAACACAGCTGTTCTGGATACTATAAATTTGTTATTACTATCAATAAATCTGTACCCTTTGGTTCCAGTTTCGTATCCCATGAATCTTAATCTCCTGGATACGTTTTCTCCCTTTCTCCTCAATTGTTTAGGTATGTGTACGTCTGCAGTGACTCCAAATATGTGCATGTGTGATAATTTGGGTTTTCTATCGTACATCACCTCATATGGTGTCTTATTCACAATACTGGACCAGGTTCTATTTTGAGTGTAATTCGAATAATGTAATGCCTCTGACCAAAATTGTTTGCCTAAACCAGCATCCTCTAATGTGCACCTAATCATGGTTTGTAGTGTGGAATTTTTCCTCTCTGCAACTCCATTTTGAAATGCAGAAAAAGGATTGGACGTGAAATGTAACATTCCTCTATCCTTTAACCATTGGGAGAATTCTTTAGACATGAACTCACATCCCCTATCTGTCATAATTTGCTTTATTCTGATATTATGTTGTGTTTCTATACGTTTGTAGAATTCCTTAAATTTCTGAAATGTTTCATCCTTGTGCTTTAATGTGTAAACAAAACCATATCGGCTGTAGTCATCCACTATTGTTAGGAAGTAACGTTTTCTATAGGTAATTGAGGGACTTAATGGACCAACTAAGTCCATATGTACCAAATCAAAAATATTGTTAGTTGATCTGTTAGATTTTTTTGGTCTGGGACTGGTTTTTAGTTTGGTGGATTTACATACTGAGCATTCCAAATAATTTTCACAATTTTTTATTTTGACACCTTCTGCGTGTTCAGTCATTTTTTGTACTACAGGAAAGCTTGCATGTCCTAACTTCCTGTGTAAGATGTGAGCACACTCATCATGAATTGGTTTACCTATTTTTGGTTTCTTTTCCTTGTATGTATTTTTGTGATCATGAGTTATTCTACACTCATCATTGTCACTGTTACTGACATTTTCATCATCTGCTTCAATATAATCTTCCATATTTGAATCAATGTTATGTAAACATCTTTCTTTAGTTATCAGATAGGGTAGACCTCCTTTTATCATTACAGTACCTACATTTGTTTTGTTCTTTTCTATAGTTGCTTTCCCTTTTGAGAAAACTATATTGATATCAGATTCTCTGCTTAATTTTATGGCACTTAGTATGTTGTGAGGTATTTCTGGGATTAATAATACCCCCTCTATTTTCCCTAGACCAGGCAAGGTCACATTTCCTTTGCCTAGTACTTGAACCTTTTCTTGATTAGCTACCTTTATCACAAACTTATCTTCTATAAATGAAGATAATATACTTTTGTTGTTGGTGGTGTGATTTGTTGCACCAGAATCAATAAGCCAATTGTTATTCTCATCCTGCTGTGTTCTGGTGCTGTCTTGTTTATTTAGCCCATTCAGTGACCCAGATTTCCTCTCTTTTGAATTTTCTCTACCCCCTCTACCTTCTTTGTAATTTGGTGGACTTCTATATTTGTGTCTATCTGTGGAAGATTGTCTGTAATTATATTTGCTCCTATATTCTGGCCTATGTCTCTCTCTTGAGACTTTGGGACAGTCTCTTTACTATGTTCCCTGGATCCACAATTGTAGCATCTAAAGGCCTCATTATGTTTATCTTGAAAGACTACTTTCCTAAAAGGTTTGTGGTCTGTTTGGTTACTGGATCGATTTTTTCTTGAATTGTCTTCTGCTATCAATTTGTTAGATAGACTTTCTATGGATAAATATCCCAAATTAATGGTATCTAAGTGTGACATAAAGCTATCCCATGATGGATCAAGTGAATTGATAATAACACTTTTCATTGTTTGATCTGAAATCACTTCCCCCCTCAATTGTAGCTCAGCTCTTATTTTGTTTAGATTTATCAAATGCTCACTTATAGAAACCCCTGGTTTTACTCTAGAGGAAAAGAAATCCTTAGACATTCTTGTGGTTGTAGCTACGCTATCGCTGTGAAATAGATTAAACATGCATTGAATTATTTCTGATACAGTTAGGTTTGGTTTGATGCTATGATACATTGCAGGAGACACGCTAGATATTATTATGAAAAATGCTCTATGATGTAAACAATCTATTTTTAAAGTCCAAGGTCTTCTTGGAGGGCTAGTTATAAAAAGAATAGTAAATTTTCTTTCATGAAAATAACCTGTAGCTGTTGATACCACTCTTGTAAATTAATGCCATCAATTCTAAGTTTTGGGAAGTCACTGGGTAAGTTACCTACATTATTCTGTCCATTACTTACAACCTGGGGCAGTCCGTGATCTCTCAAGTGCAGGAAATTACAGAACGGCATTGGGATGCTTGCAATGAGTCTGCGCGGTTCTCTGGCCAGTTCAAGTCCTTCTGGGTCGTCTACGTAGTTTCGCACATGCGCGTTGCTCATTTCTTCTTTGGTGGCGTCGTGGAAGGTTCTCTCCCTTTCAGCTCTCTCGATCCGCTCCTCCTCAGATGAGTCGGTCTCTGGCTCGGTTTTTGGGGTTCTGGTGGTGGCGACGGTTCTTTTCTTCCTTTTGTGTGCGTTGGTATTCGATCTTGTCTGTGGTGTAGGGCGAAATCGGCATGGCTCTCTGGGCTCGGGCGTCGTCGCTTTCGAAGTCAGGATGGGAGCGTGCAGGTCTTGAGTCGCCGGTTTGATTTCTTGCTTCTTCGTAGATGTCTTGGTAATTTTCAGTCTTGGCCCAAAAGCAGCAAAAAGTGTTTTCATTGCTGATTTTACTTGAGATTTTGTTAAATCGTCTTCACTTTCTGATTTTGGATCATCTGAAGAGTTTGAGACTTCTTTCTCACTTTCTTCGTCTGATGGTGTTTTTCGCGCCAGAAATTTTGAACTGAGCGTTTTGATTGGCTCTGCTCCATTCTCTTTTGAAGTTCGTTGAAACCAAGATGGCTGCCATTCAAAATTTCGCGCGGGATCACATCTTTTCTTTTTAACAACTATTTTCTCAGTAGTCATCTCACTTACGGTTTTTTGATCTTTGGGTTTTTCTTTAATGACGTTTTTCTCTCTCGCTGCTCCGCTGTTCTTCAGCATCTCCTGGAGGTCCGCGCGATGAGACTTTCATCATTCTTTTGGCTTTTTAGTATCTTTAATATCTCTGACCTGAGTTCGTTATTTTCTATTTCGATTTCTTTCTGGTCATTATTTTCACTCATTAGTTCTTCTTCTTCAGTGGTGTATTCTTCGGATTCTCTCGAAATCGCATTGGTGGATTCGTTGATCATCTCTTGATCAGTTTCTATTTCTTTGCTGTAGGCCCTGGTGTTGGGCCTATCTTTCTTGGACATTTTTAATTACTTATTGAGTCAATTAACCATCCTCTGCTACCAGAATGTTGCAATATTTTCAGGATCAGACTCAATAAAGATAATAGGAGTTAGAGCTTTAAATATATTTCTTTTTAATTATGATAGGCATTCTATATTCACTGAATATTCAAGGTAGAAGCAACGAGAATGGTGAGGGTGGCTCCTTATATATACAAGGGGTGGAGCTAGGAATGGGAGTGGTAAGTTTGAATACATTAAAGTCCAAAGAATAAGTTAACCTCTGATGTTCCATTATATACATTATTTACACATTGGAGAATAAGGCATTTACATCTGACACTCAGACTCTTTCCTCCGCTCCTTCTTTGATTTCTGAATTTCTCATATTCACGTGTTTCAAAGATGAAACTCAAACAATCTGGGTAGGTATTTTTCATATGTTTACAGTATCATTAATTCACTGCTCACTACCATTCTTCTCTCTTCTGGAGAAAGATTGCTTTCTGACTACTTAAAAATCTTATGTACAGTTTAATGAATCTACATTCCACTCCAAATTATATTTAAGGCAGCTAATGCTATATAATTATTATAATCGTAATTATTATAGTACATGCCAGCTCTGAGACTGATTCAATTGTTGCTATTATTAAGGTAAGGAATTTGCCACTGATCATACCTGATATCTCCAGGAATGAATGCAATGACATATGCATTTTACCCATGTAAATACACTCTTGACCATCATCAAAAATTACATATCTAGCTTTATCTATCTTCAAGACTGAAGATAGGAGTACAATCAAAATGTGAAACTGTATTTTCCAGATAACCACAATTCTATAGCGTGGCTTATAAAACCATTTTATGTTTGTTTATTACAACACCATTTTATGTACATTTACTGAAATGTAGGAGTGATCTCTTTCTGGTCCATATCAGTCTTCTATTTGTTGATTCACAAATCTATTCCATCTCTGCATTAGTATCTCAATTTTTTTTAAAAATTCACAAAAATATATTTTACTATATTGTCACAAAATAAACCCTTTATAATACACTATATGTGAAAATATTTGGCATTATTATTTAAATTTATTGGCCACCCACCTTACCCCAGGGCTACTCTGTGTATAATTATATAAAATATGTATACAATTTATTTTAACAGAATAAACATTCAATAGGTAACGATACCTATGGACTTATTTTATTCTATAATCTGCCCTACATCTAGGTTAGGGCAAGACATTCACTCACATATCATGTGAAAAAGTAGTTGGCATACTTTTTCACTAGATTGAATTATTCTTGGTCCTTATAAAAAATAAGCAGTTACTTGAAGTCAAGCTAAATGTAGGAGACACAGGAAGAACTAAGACCTGTCCTTTCTTTTCTTCTGAAGGCTTTTTGAGAAACATAGACCGACCAGCTACCTTATTATTCTCCACCAAATCACCTGCAAGGATTTGAACCAGTTTTTTCTTGTCAGCAGCCTTTCTATTTTTGTTTTTGTTTTCTCCTTCACATCAATTCAAGCCAGCAAGTGTAGTTGTTGGCTCTTCTTAAACCAAAACATCTAAGATGCAACTTAAAAAAGGGGGGGGGGATATATTTTCCAGATTTTGTATGGATTTAGTCTTCTTCAGAATCTGTTGCTAGTTTATTTCCAAGAGTTTCACTCACCTTATTTACCACAAGGAAATTCTCAATACTTTTCCCACTGGTAAAGACGATTTCCCCAGAATCTTTTACTGCTTCTGGAAGAATCTCCTTCACCTCTTGAGCAATAACACCTGCCCAGGAAAAAAACAACATAAAACATAACAGCTTTGAGCTCAAGAAGTGTCATTATAGAAGATATTTACGCCAAAAAGTTACAATTAAAGATATAATTCAAACATATGTATTATTTTATAAACATTAACAACAATTGCAGTAAAGTAGTTATTTTAAATTTTTCACTTCAGAAACAGCTAAAAGGTTCAGTGTAAGCATAGGCCCTAGAAAAACTTATGATAACAGAAAGATAATATTTGTATGCCAGAATGATTTTGGCATCAGGAACTCTTGCATGAAGCACACTACTTTCATCACACCCTTACACTCTTTCAACTAAGAGATGAGCTTAAGCAATACCTTAGATTGCTTCTGGTTAAAATCAGTGGCCTGATGAATACACCTTCATTATGAAAAGTGCTACAGAAAATATCTGAACAGGTGACAGATCCTGGCTGGCCTTGTCTGGTATTGGGAAAGCGTTCCTTGAAGGAATTGAGTTTTACCCATAAAGTATTTGGAATCTACCATGTGCCCCATAGTGAGAGAGGAGGAGGGGGAGGAGGAAATACTGTATTTTTCGGAGTATAAGATGCACTGGAGTATAAGACGCACCTACCTTTTTTGGTGAGGAAAAGAAGAAAAAGAAATCTCCCTCTGCCTCTGAGCAATTTTGCCTCCTTGCAGCAAACAGCAAACAGCCTGCTTTACTTTCATTTTCGTTTTCAGCATAGCTTGATTAGCACAAGGAAAAAAAAATCTGCTCCAGCAATTTACCTCTTTGCAGCAAGCAGCAGAGCCCTGCGCAAAACAGCTGAGAGCAAATCAGCTGAGAGTCGGGAGGACGATCCAATCAACTTGTGCTAATTAGACTGTGCTGAAGGTGAAAGGAGCTGTTTTTTCTTGCTATTTGCTTGCAAGGAGGTAACTGCTGCGAGACAGAAGCCAAAGGTGGGGGCCAGTGGGTGGGCGGGGCTACATTCGGTGTATAAGACGCACCTAAATTTTCACCCCCTTTTAGGGGGGGAAAGGTGCATCTTATATTCCGAAAAATACGGTAAATGGAACAATGGAACAAGTATTAATTCACCATTGTGTGATCATACACCCTATCTTGCAACACCTGCCCATAAGATATTCCAACATCTATGTTCCAACAAAGGCACAAAAATGTGCTCTGCGTTTTACTAATTTGCTATGAAAAACAACAGTATAAGTATAGCAATTACAGTATATCTGATATTTAAATTAAGTAAAGAGAGAGTATTAGGCCTGGGTTTTCACATCATGATGAATGATGCTTGGTAAATGATTTTCCTGCATCTTGTATAGTGTTAAATACCTAGGTATTATACAAAAACATATTCTCTAAGTATAGAAACAATCTTCAGAAAAAAATGTCCATGGAACAACTGTAATCAATAGTTTTAGATGTACTTGTTACAGTAATGTAAATTAAACTCAAGGTCAGAAAAATTACCTGTACCTGTCTCAGTTGTATTCTCCAAGCCAGCAGTGGCAGCAAACTCTGGCTTGTAATTATAGTGCACCAGCCGCATACGGGAGATTCTCTTCAGTTGCTCTGTGGTGTCTACCTAAAATTATAAGAAAAAGAAATCTATAAAAGTACTCTATGGTCTTCAATACTCAGGCACCAGATAGTTACATCTAACCATATTTGACAAAAATCAAAAAGGTGTAGTGGAAGTTTGAATATACGGTAGATAATCACATGCCGATTTCAGCTCAGTATTTATGTGTTCTCTGTATTATTGATTTGAACAGTGGGAGCAGCAGAATTTAGCCTTTTGAGAAAGGACAGCACTTCAATTTTCAAAAAACCAAGGAGACTTAGTATTATTTTCTACCACCCGAAACAAAGCCTGTCCAGTTTTATAACTGGCTGTAATGCTTAGTATCTGTGCTGACCTTTACAGAATAAAGTACTGTATATTCTATAAAAACCAGCAAGAATGTAAATCATTTGAATATATTTAGAATATCAAAGTGAAAATACACACACACACACACACACACACACACACACACACACACACACACACACATTTAGGTAGGTATCTAAACTATTAGTCTAAGCTTAGAACTGAAACTCTAAGCTTAGACTAAATATCTAAGCTCCCAAATCCAAATGTATTTATCTAGTGTTCAGGAATTAATATAAAGTATTTTTAAGTAAAAAAAAAAAGCAAACAAACTGGGAATTTGGAAGTCAGGCCAAGTTACAACCTGAGATTCATGGCAATCTAGCAACTCTTCCTTTCATATAGAACACAAAGTATTAAAATCAAAAGTTTGCAATTGCATTTTACAAAGACAAGTTGATATATAGTTAAGGGTATAGCAAGTCCCATGTACAATAATGGAACCTTAACTAGAAGTATAGTTACATAAAGAGCCACGGTGGTACAGTGGTTAGAGTGCAGTACTGCAGACTACTTCTGCTGACTGCACTTTGGCAGTTCAAATCTCACCAGGCTCAGACTTGACTCAGCCTTCCATCCTTCCGAGGTCGGTAAAATGAGGACTCAGATTGTTGGGGGCAATATAATGACTCTGTAAACAACTTAGAGAGAGCGGTAAAGCACTGCAAAGCGATATACAAGTCTAAGTACTATTGCTATATCCTGACGTGAGGGAAGGCATAGGAAAAAAACAACGAAACACACTGTGAGACAGAAGTATTAAACGAATAACTGCCTTGGTATGTTTGCCTCCTGAACATTGTTGAGACTAGAACATCTGCTTATTGCAAGTGTTAGGCAAAGGTTGGCCTATTTCTATAATGTTCGTTTTTTGGCTTGCAATGAGTACTTGCTCAGTGCTTATGAAAGTTTCAGTTCAGAAATCTAAAGTGACAGTGTGGATTTTCAAAGCAGATTCAGTACTGAATATAATTTCTGGAGTGAACACTTACCTCTTGGATATCATCTTTTACTCGGATGTCTGATGGATGCATAAGGGATCCCATAACTTTTACATTGCCATGGACAACCAAGGCTTCATCAGGTCGGTCTGTGTTGATGCCAACCCGGCCGTGGTGAAAGACAGTGTCAGGGAGCTGAGAGCGTTGCCAAAGTACATCACTGTCACTCTCAAATTGACCTGGGTTAGAAGCCTACAAAAAAGACATCCAGAGAAGAGTTGGGGGTTAACTGTCAACAATTGCAAATGATTGAGAAAAACAGAGAAGAAAAGTCCAGTGGTTTTACAGCAGGAAAAAGTATAGGATAAAGTAAAGCTCTCCTCCTGAAGAAATGGAAAAATATTCATTTGCACCAATAGCCCATTCACTGATAGGGAGGTTAAACAAGAAAGAAACGGGACCCAGCAGCCTTCCACAAGATACTTATTAGCCCAAAGCTTTTGCAAGTATATTACATGATATACTTGATGGACAACTGTGACAGAAGGCAGCCACACTTTATGTGCACTCATGTGTTAAAGTGAAAGATAGGTTATACAATGTCATATAGAATATTATGGAAATTTCTCAATTTGCAGCACTTATGATTATCAGCATGGATAAGAACACATAATTCTTTGCCCATGTTAAGAGACAAGAGATTATAGCCTCTGTCAAAACCTACTTTATATTGTAGTTGTTCCTTTAGCCTAACAGTAGACTGCTTATAACCAGAGAGGGCTGTCTGATTTAGTTTGCCAACTCAGCACAAGGAGCTTGAGTCAGCGTGTGTTTACAGAATCAGCCAGATAAACCTTCTTTCTTAGCTCATAACAGAAAGGTTATATCGCAAATAGGCTTTTCTTACACTCAGTGGGAACAAAGTGTTCCATAAAGTAAAAAAGCATCCCCAGCTCAAAATAAATTCTTGCAGGATTGTGAAGGAAGAGCCTGTAAGAGATTTAGGTGAACAAGAGTGATGAATTCCTCTAAGCAATTTGGAAAAACAGGATAAAAAGGAAGAAACCATTTTATTCTACATATCCCTGGCAATTAGATTTCTACGGTACATGGCTTAAATGCTGTGTTTTCATACAGAGTTGAATATCAAAAAGGGATTCCTGGGATGTTTCAGTGGAATTTCAAATAGTAAAAACATCAGCGTTTCAAAAGATTTCAACTTTTTCATTGATGAGCACAATACTTTGTCCTACATATATAGACTTAGTATGCAACAGTTGCTGAATAATTTATTGCCCTTATAAACTGAGTCTACACATTAATAATGATTTTATTCATATGAAGCATTTCTATATAATTACTGATCAAAATAAAAATCTATAGTATTTTAAACAACTGAACCAATAATAAAAATAAACCATACAAAATAACTTAAAATAAACCATACAAATTAAAAACTGTACAACTGAAATAAAATGGAACAAAGCACTGAGGAATAGTTTAAAATGTTTTAAAATAATTTACAAAGGCCATGTTTTTACTTTTTCAGGGAAAAACTGGGAGAACACTGTTTCAATCTTCCAAGTTTATGAGTATTGGATCTCCAACAGAAAAAGAAGCTTCTTCATTTCTTATACTCTTACAATCCAAATGTCCTGTTACTTTAATAAGATCTGGCTCGCAGGATACCTACCATATTTTTCGGAGTATAAGACACACTTCCCCCCCACACCCTAAAAGAGGGTGGAAATGTTGGTGCGTCTTATACACCAAATACAGCCATTTTTGGCCTCCTGAAGCCCCGCCCCACTCATCTCATTTTTGTGAAAAATAGGCCCATTTTTTGCAAAAATGGGGCATGCAGAAGGTTTGGGAGGCCTGCAGAGAGCTCCTGGGGGCTGGGGAGGGCAAAAACTTTTTTTTTTCTTACTTACCTCTTCAAAATCTTAGTGCGTTTTATACACCGGTGCATCTTATTGTCCGAAAAATACGGTACATTTCAAAGAATTTTTTTCCCCCAGAAGGTATCTGTGCCACAAAGCCACTTGGTGGCCTTTGGCAAGCTCCATTTTTTCATTCTTCTGGGCAGAAGTAATTTGCTTTGGCATATGCTTCAGAATATCATACATAAAGACTCAGAATGGTGCTTGAATGGCTCAGCTTTGAAGGGGAGGAATGGCGGCTACAGATGGGTCTGGGAATAGGCACCATTTTGGCTTTGCTTCAGGCAGCAAAGTATCTTTGCTGACAATGTTAACATATATAATTGCTCACATCTCTCTCACATATACTAGCATTTGCTGACTATCCTATGGTGTTTAGATTCTAATCTCTCTTAAGCAAGGTGTGGTGCCTTTATATTACATTATAAAGACATTTTAAAAATCAATAAGGAACACATCTCTTGAAACCTATTTTTAATACCAAGATTTTATGTACTATAAACATGAGAAGAGTGTATTTCCATATGGACTAGATCTAATTATAGGATAAAGTTCAGCTAGTTCTATATTAATATTATACAAATTTTTAAATCTTCAATTTTAGTTCCTTTTAATTATTACATACATTTTTGTGATTTTACTGTTACATTGTTGTTGCTTTTGGCTTATATTTTGTTTGCCATGTATCAAAAAAAAAAATAAATCAAGCCAAAAAAAAACACAAACACCCTAACACGGAACTGTAAATTACTGATATTAACTAGCTACTATTACCATACAGGCAATTACTAAAAATACACCATGCAGCAAATCCATCTCTTTCCAGGGAAGTGACATGGTACAATTGTGTATACAATTATGTATACTTTGCACAATCTTACTGGTATGGAAATATGTGCAATTCACAGGTGCTTCTAATGTATAACCAAACCACGTATTTGTGCTAATGCAGACAGATCCTTACCCTAATTGGTCAAATCGGATGCAGCTAAGCATCATGGATATACTTCCGTTTCCATCTGCTTTACCCACTAATCTACAACAAAGGTCCCCCACCCCCACCACCCCGGAGACTGCATAAGTCAGCATGTTACTTACTTGTCTGCAGACTCCGGGGTCCCCGTCTGCCCTCTGTTTGTGTTTTACCCCCGAACCGGCCCTTTGCTAGAGGAAATGGACACAGCACTTAAAAAGGCAGCAGGGCGGAGACAGCCAACTACAAAGTCACAGCTTAGTGTCCTCCTTATTTGCTTACTAACTTTGGCAGTGAAAGAGCCACAGCTGACTTCTTCACTTGCCTTTCCCCAAGGTTATTCCATCTAAAGCGAAGAAACATTCCACTTGTTTATTCAGATTGCTAAACAGATTGTTAAGAAATTTGATTAGTTAACCTTATTTGGGGACATCAGTTTCACAAATATTCCAAAGTCAAAAGGGCAGAAATAGCCCCACTTGAATAAAGTATGCCCCTAGATGAAATCGATCATAATACTTCCACAAGTTTCCCTCATCTGTATTTAACATTTACTTTTTGGGAACTTTAAGGCATATGTCTGCAAAAGTGCAATCTCTGGGGCAGGTTTAACTTCAACAAAACTGATGAACATCTAATCCAGAAGACTTGCCTTGTGGCTTGTATCACAGAAACAGGGAAATTTGATAACTGGTGGTATTGGTTATCACTAACACAATTACATGATTAACATGGACACCACTTGTAAAATCTATTATTCAATATTCCTAGATACCCTCCAAGAATAAACCTGCTTTCCTTGCATGTAATATTTACTTCAAACCTATAAGCCTTGAAAGCATTGGAATTCATTTAGTGTAAGCATTTACCAAAGGCCTTCTTTGTGTAGAAGAGAGAGTCAGAGTTCCGAAAGCTAAACAAGATTAGGGTAGAGGGTATTATGAATGAGAAAAGAAAAGCAAGGAACACTGTGGAACAAGGAGCAGGCTGGTATTGGCTTTAAGAACATGAAGGAACTCCTGTCGAGTAAAGTATAAAGCTCTAAATGTTCACAATCATGGAAGGATATTTTGCAAGGGAAAGGAATAGACTTACTCTAACAATGATGCGCTCTGAGATATGAGCAGCCAGAGTGTAGTTCTGGTTCTGAGAATGAGCTTGCAAAGCCACAACCAACATGAAGTATCTGAAACAAGACAGGACCAGTTAAGCATAGGTTTTTCCCAATTTCCCAGATGGAAACATAGTACATATGAAATATGAGATTTTCTAGAAACATAGTGGACACTTTATCAAAATATTCAAATCTTCAGTACAAGATAATTTTCAAATTTATTCCATTCTTTAATAAAATAAAGAAAACTTTGTCAGACATTAGAACAACTCTACTTAGCACTAAATGGCATTCACAACATACTGAAAACCAATTAATTCAGTGGATGACAATGGCTCTGAAAACCAGCCAGGTATGGTGGCAGACTATCCTGTAGAACCACAAAATACATTTAAAATATAACTGCAAAACTCCAGCAGTTCATTTAAAATTATCCATACTGGACAGATTTGCACATCTCATCAATCTGTGTCCTTTTTCCTGAATAGATATCAGAGATCAACCTAGCCCAGCACAAGTGAAAACCACTTTTTTTCCACACAGGAAATGGACAAGCACAACATCTATCAGTGATATCAAAATATTTGAAAATTCAAAGTTGATTTTTTTTTCCCTAAGCCTCTCTGCTTTTCAAGATATTATTTTATGTTACAATTTTACCAAAGTAAATCTGAAGTATTAAATTCCAATCACACATTTCACAATTCAGTTTTGTTCCTTTGTTTTAAAGGAGAGGACAATCTGAGATCTGTGGCTGAGAAACAAGAGGGCAATACAGATATTCTGCTTGTGTAGCATTGATAGTGAAAATAAAGCTCCCTGTATGGATCTGGCAAGTCCTTCTCACAGAAAAGTATAGCGTTATTTCAAATGATCAGCTATGAACAGTTTCAGGTATTCTAGCAGTGTGAACAGCATGTATTTTCTAAAGCAACATCCAAGTAGTTGCTTTGCCATGTCCTCTCTTATCCCACAGCTGGCAGGAAATTATGCCACTCTGAAACTGAATCCCCTAAAACATAATGTCTTTACCATACACTTGGAACAAATCTGTGTTGCATTTTTGCCTAATAGCTTTAGTGCAAAACAGTCCAAGGGCAATGATCAGTGGTTCCCTTAGCTGAAATTTCAGCCTCTTCCATGTGGCACTCACAAAGCTCTGCTTTCTCTATGCACTATCATTTTTTTCTGTTCCCAATGCATTAACAATTGAACATTTTTACTATTATTGTTTCTTGAAACTTTGGATCAACAGATGGCCTATTCAATTTACGGACCCTTAGGTGGCAGCCAAAAGTTGGGCACATACATTATTTTGTATCTCTTGGCTGCCATCCAATGCTAGCCTGGATTTCTGCCACTGAGATGCAGCCATGGAATAAGTCCTACTGAAGAACCTGAACTCTAAGAAAGGCTTAGCTATGGGAAATCAGTATGAGATCTGTAAACTATCAATTTCTAAATTACATGATAGTGAATATAACGAGAGTAGCCAGAGATTCCCTGGAAGCAGCAGCATGGGAAAGCCATTGCCTGCAAAGAGGCTACTGTACAGATTTGCAAGAGACAAGCCCTTCCAATTACACTTCCAATTATAGGCACAGGCTGGTCAATTTCAGGGCTTTACACTGAATGTAAACACTGAACAACTAATTTAAAAAAGAAAAGTGGCTGCAGAAGACAGAATTCTGAACTTGCAAACACAAAAGAACTAAAAGGCAAGTGAGTAAGTCAGGGCCAGACTGAAGAGATGGTCTCAAAGGAAACCAGCAGATTCAACTGGAACCACAAGATTGTTGGCAAATGTGTGTCAAATTGGGCTGCCTCCACAATAAACTTCACCACTTCCTACTTTGCCTGGATATAACTTTTTGAAATGACACCTTAGGAAAACACTTCTAGGGTGTAGCACCCTAGGCCATCCTCGGGTGACTCAGCTGTAAGAAGATATTGAGATACAGGTGGAGACATGTAGACAGGCACTTGGGGAATCAATAGTGAGTTATCCTTATTTATGGCCATTTACATAGCACAAAAAAGTTGTTGCCAAAAAAAAGAGGCAGATTGGGCACAAGAGAATGACTGACCCAGTTATTGTGTGATTCTTTAGCTGAAAGTAGATCTTGAATTTGGGTATCCCTTGATGGAATCCTTAACCACCAAAGTTATTTTAAATTCCACATTAGTTTCATTACTATCCTGAGAACCAGTGGTGAAATTTTCCCCGGTCTGCCACCGGTTTGCTGCCTGCGAATGTGTGTTGCACGCCAAGCGTGCGCTGCATGTGTGCATGCAGTGCGTGCCAGATGTATGCTGCATGCATGCGCATGTGCAGTGCACACCAAATGCATACTGTGCACACATGTGAAGTACACACCAAATGCACACTGCGCATGCACTAAATGCACACTGTGCGCACACACATGCATAGTATGTGCCAAACACATGCTAGGTGCGGAAAATGGAGGCTTGGGAAGGTATGTAGAACAGCGAGGGGGGTGAACAGCTGCGCCGAGCTATTTGGATTCACTAGAAAGCAGGATTTCCTGCTTTCTAGAGATTTTAAATCGTGCGGCACAGCGGATCATCGGAAATACCGGTTTGGACCAACCGGTAGCTTTTATCACTACCGGTTCGCCCAAACTGGTGCAAGCCGGTAGGATTTCACGACTGCTGAAAACCTTTATGTTGAAAAATAGCTCTGGAAATCTTAAATAAAAGTCATCAAGTGGAAGCTTACCTTTGATCAGGATTAGGCTTCCCCTTCTTCCTCATGTTATTGGCCGTGGTCTCACTGAAGTGCAGCCGCCCCACTGTGACCTTTGTGACTTGCTCTGGAGGCAAATTGACCCTGAAAATAGAATAGAATAGAATAACAGAGTTGGAAGGGATCTTGGAGATCTTCTAGTCCAACCCCCTGCTTAGGCAGGAAACAGTACACCACTCCAGACAAATGGTTATCCAATCTCTTCTTTAAAATTTCCAGTGTTGGAGCATTTACAACTTCTGGAGGCAAGTTGTTCCACTGATTAATTGTTCTAACTGCCTGGAATTTTCTCCTTAGTTCTAGGTTGCTTCTCTCCTTGATTAGTTTCCACCCATTGTTTCTTGTCCTGCCCTCAGGTGCTTTGGAAAATAGCTTGACTCTGTCTTCTTTGTGGCAGCTCCTGAGATATTGGAACATTGCTCTCGTGTCTCCCCTAGTCCTTCTTTTCATTAAACTAGACATACCCAGTTCCAGCAAATATTCTTTATATGTTTTAGCCTCCAGTCCCCTAATCAGCTTTGTTGCTCTTCTCTGCACTCTTTCTAGAGTCTCCACATCTTTTTTACATTGTGGCGACCAAACTGGATGTAGTATTCCAAGTGTGGCCTTACCAAGGCATTATAAAGTGGTATTAACACTTCACGTGATCTTGAGGAGAGAACATTAGAATAATGGAGGATCTACATGTGTCAATTAATAAGTTGAAGCAGGACAAGGACATTTTATAAAAATCATGGATCAAGAAGTAGAGGGAACCAGAGTTTAAAAAGAAAATAGAAGAAAGACTAGAGGACTAAACATAGAAGTAAATACATAGCTTGACCCCAGTGCCTGACTTCTCCCTGAAGCCCTAAGTAGTACTCACATGACAGGATTAAAAGGTCTTTTGCTGCGATCTGACTGCGACTGTTCTATGTTGATTGACTGGTTTAATGCTTCCAACTGGAAAAAAAAAGGAAGATCCAGATCAATTTTAAAGACAGTTATGAATACATTGTTTTCCTTTATGCGTATTCAAGTGGATTCAATCTTAAAGAGGCACTTTAATTTTAAAGAACTGCAGTAAAATAATTATATGTACTTGAGACTGGCAATTTCCTTCCTATAGGAGAGGAAGGATATACGGAACACTTGAACATATAAATTCACACAGACACGCATATATGTACTTCCTAGATGTACATTTTTTATGTGTATAGCTTCCCAGAGTTACCCTGTGGTAAGATGGGCAGCCAATAAATTTAATAAATTAAAAAAAATTAAAAAGTAAGTATGCCATTTAGATAACTCCTACAACAAATATAATCACAGGGAAATTAATAAAGAATGTGTTGTCTAAGTCAGACCATCTGTCACTATTTATAAGATAAGCATACAATTAGCAAACTAAAATTGAAAAATAGTTCAGTAAGGATTACACAAATGTTAATGCTCTAAATTCTAATAATTAACTTCACAGAAGTGGGAGCAAAATATAATAAAAATACAACAGCTTAAGACCTAATGTAATTCTTCATTGTATATTAGAAACAGGATTTGATAAAGGGCATCCCTACAAAAGATCTGGATACAAAAACATATTCCATACTCCCCTTTGAATGTCTATAAATTGATATATAGATGGTGTCTAATACTACATAGAATGAATTTTATACCATAAGTAGAACAAAAATGCTAAAGCTATAATTCTTATATGCTTTCTATTTGATTTTTAAAATTGTATTCTAAATTCATAAAGACGATGTCTGTATAGTAATGGATTTTTTTAAAAAAAGTTAACAGCTGTTAACTAAAAAAATATCTGGATTTTTAAAAGTTGCAAAGATTCTGCTAATCTGATCACCTGTTTACTAGAGTCACACACCCCTGTTTTGTAAAGGCTACTCAAAAGAGAAAGGTAGTTGGGTCCATGATGTTTTCATTCATTCATTCATTCATTCATTCATTCATTCATTCATTCATTCAATTTGTATAGCCACCCATCATATTTGTGACTATGAACAACCAAGCAAAACTATTAATAAATAATACAAAGGTCAATAAAAACAATAACCTCTTTAAACCCAATTAAAACTCAATTAAAACAAACATTTAAAACCAGAAAACATAATAAGCAAGCAAGACAATATGCAAGCAAGCATATAAGTTTAATAAATAAATAAAATAAAGTGCAAAGACATGTGTCAATCAATACAGCCATCCAACAGGCTCCAAAGCAGTGGTGGGATTCAGCCAGTTCGTACCACGTCGGGAGAACCGGTTGTTAACTTTCTGAGCAGTTTGGCAAACTGGTTGTTGGAAGAAATCATTTTGGGCAGAGAACCGGTTGTTAAATTACTTGAATCCCACCACTGCTCCAAAGCCATATTAATATTGTCACATATAAATATGTAACTTTGCATCATTTTCCTCAGTAAATAAATTTGTTTAATTGGGTCGTTCTTATTAATTTTTAGGATTTAAAAGGTTCACAATCTTTTAAGCACCAATGTATGCACTGGGTATCTTTTCTGTTTTAATGGTTATCTAACTGTGGTAATTTTAATGAGAATTTATTTTATGAATATGTATTAAATTTAATTAAAAGCAAATGCTTTGTCAATTACTTTGACCTAAAACTTAGCTTATCAAATATGCCACACAAACAAACTCAGATATGCATTTGTAATTCCATATTTTGGATTGTTCTACCTATTTTTACTTAAAATTCCATGAAACTGTAAACAAGCCCCTTAAAAAAATCTATATAACCCCCCCATCTTATTTTTAATAGAGAGACACATTTACACATTTCCTATCCTTTTAAATGATGCAGTTCGCTATTCTTAGACTTGCCTTCACCCCATGCAGTTTCAGATAGAAGCATTCAAGTGGCTTCAGACCCTCAGGAGTCTTGACAAATTTGGGCTCTCCAATCATACCAATGTACACGGTGACTTGGAAGTGGTTCTTTTTCTGGCACACGAAAGCATCATCTCCCACAGAGAAATTGAAGCCTTTATCTGCATCCACTCGGTATGTGGGCATAGGTCTGTAAGCAAAGGAAAAGTAGACAAGAGAACACTTGTTGGACAAAAGAACAAATGGGAGCATCAATAAGACATGGCTATATCCAAAATTTGTTTATGGGCAGTCTTGTTTCCACCATCACATATGGCTGAAACCAGAGATTTTCAAACCTTTTCAAGCAGCACAATGTGTTACTTTAAAAAAAAAAGCCCCCACAATCCTGATCAAAAGTCAAAGTTGTAGTGAAATAAAATTGGCTGCTCTCAAGTCAAACAACTTCTTCAATCCTGCTGGAGGTGAACATGTGAGAAAGTATCAGAAAGAAAGGTTTAAACCAAAAGCTTCATCAGAAAGGAAAACAAGAAGGAAAATGGAAAACAGGGAAAGACAGCCGGTGCTGAGTCAGAGAAATGGGCAGGACAGAAGGAAAAGAAGAAGATCCCAGAGCAAAAGCAGAGTTCTGTGTGGGAGCTTCACAGCCTCTCAGTATTTTGCCTTCATTTCCAAAAGTCTGAAGTCCTGTACAGATTGAAGCTCCTCCTCAGACATGCCAATGGCAACTGGATAAACTCTACGCACTGTCAGCACCTGTGGGGTGAGTGAACCTGGCAGAGTCTGTAAGGAGCCATTTAGATCTTCCTCATAGTAACAAGAGGGACCTCAAGCTGCTAGAGATGTGCCCTGAACAAAAAGCAGATGGTGGTCACAGAACAAGCTACCTTAGTCAGAAAATATGAGAGGAATTTCCTTTCCCTTCTCCCCCCTCTTCACATTTCTGGTGATTCATTTTGCTATTCCTTCCTTCCTTCCTACATATCTTGGCATTCTTCTACTCTATTGAGAAATCAAAATTTTCCCACCCATCACCTAAAAGCAGACATAGACCTCTTCCTCCTTAATCTTAAACCACTGCACACAGTCTTTGGGTCCAACTATAACTTCTGTAAAAATATTCAACTCATCAATAAAACATGAGAGAAACAGTTACAAAAGGGGAAATCAAAGCAAGCACGAGTACTCCTTCAAACAAATTCTATACACAGTTCATTTGAGCTGATTACTGCTCAATACATCTCTAAAACCAGAAAAGGAAGACACTTTTGGTTGTCCGGGAGAGTTAGGAAAGCTTCCACCCAAAGGAATAGGAACTATTTAATGTCCAAACCTCTATAGGTATTAAGATTTTTGGACTCCATTAGAGTAACCTCATACCTTGTAATTTGTTCTCAACACCGTCCATATCACCCAAGCAAGGCTATAAACAGCACAAGGGGAATTCAATGTGTCATCAGGACAGTTCCAGCATAGATAAATAGTTACTGAAATAGGCCTATTCAGTCATATACAAAAGGAGGCATATTCCACAGAAGCAGGCTTGGTAAGTCTTTTTCTTTGTCATCATGCAAATGACATCAGCTGGCATAGGACCCAACCTTCACAACTTAAGCACAGATGTTTGCAGAGGAGAAATCTTCATGCTGCAAACTATAGACAAGGTGGCTTTGGCACAAACAAGGACTATGATGATGTATCTTTTATAAAGGAGTCATAACATAACAATATAATGTAATGTAACACAACATAGTATAATGGAACATAACATGTCAAAGGGGCTGGTTACTTGAGGGACCACCTATCTCCCACAACATCTGCCTGGTTGATTTAATATACTTGAGTTCCTTTCATTACATAATGTTATCTTTCAGGACTCTAGAAGTATACCTTCTCTGTGGCAGCATCTGTCCTCTGCAATGAAGTTGTCATCAGGATCTGGGTGGCCCCACTCTGCTATTGTTTAGAAGAGGCTAGAGCCATAATATGACCTGGCTCTTCACCCAGGGCTTTGGTGAGGAAGAGAGAAAACTGCTACTTCATTCCATTCAGTCTGTTGTACTGGCCATCTTTTATATTTTATAGGTTTTATTGTAATGTCTTTGATTATAAGCCACCCAGAGTCATTGGGTGGTATACAAGTTTAACAATAAATAAACAAACAAATGCCAAAGGGTTTTGATGATTACTTGGAGTGTCAGGCCAGTGAAGATCCAATTAAACTGATTTATTGCTAATCATGCCTATGCATGGGAATCTTCTAAATGGTTAGCACCTGCTTGGAGTTAGATGAGGGTCAAAGGAATTCAAGGGAAGTTGGACTTAATTCACCTGTGTATGCTTTTCTATGTACTTAGTTCCCCAATCACACTGCCCTTAATGGAGTATGCTTTTTTTTAACAATCAGAAACTGCCCTCCTATAACTTGAATCTATTTGCCCATGTTCTACACAGAGAACTCTACATTTTCTATGTGATACCTTTCAGTATTTGAAAGTACTATTATATCTTGCCTCAGTTGTCTTTTCTTACTGATAATCATCCCATTTCCTTCAATCTCTCTTCACAGAACCCAGTTTTTACTCCTAGGATCATCTATGTCACCTTTTTCTGACTCTGTTCCAAAATCTCTGATCCTTCATGCCATTCCACTCAATACCATTAGGAACCGTACTCTTAGGAACCATGGGTGAGCACACTTTCCTTTTTTTTCTAGCAAGCCATTTATCCCACTTAATTGTCATCCAGACTATAATTAGCTTGCTACAAATGCCATGAAGTATAAATGCTTTGCTGAAATTAAGATATATTATGCCCATAGCACTTTTAGTCTACTACACAAATTACTAGGTTTAAGAAAAAATGAGGTAAGAACAAGTCCTGTCAGACTAATAAAATCATTCTAACGTCTGCTAATTACTATATTGTTTTCAAGATGCTTTGATTTAACTTTCAAACATAGCCTGCACATCTATACAAAAGCATATAGAAGTATGAGAAATAAGCAAAATGAGTTTAAATTCTTAGTACAGGAAGACAAATATGATCTAACAAATGTCTGTTACAATGAATTCCATTATTGAAATACTGAAACTGTAGGATACAATTTATTGAACGGTACTGAAAAAAGTGATGTATGACTCATCTTCGCTCTTAAAACCATCACAGCATCCTGTCAGTCATATCACTAGTTTGGTGCTTGACAACCGGTATGTATTTATGATTGTTACAGCATCTTGGAGTTGTATTTCTGACCTTCCCAGCCAGCTTCCAACAAGCAAAGTAAATGGGGGAAGCTTGCTTCACTTAACAATAGTGTGATTCACTTAAAGACTGCATCAAAAAAGGTTGTAAAATTGGGCATATCACATAAAGTCTCACTTAATGACTGCATCACCTAGTGATGGAAATTCTGGTCCCAACTGTGATTGTAAATTGAGGATTACCAGTATCATCCTTGAAAAGATCCATTTAAAAAAACAACCACCATATATGAGCTTTTTAAACATAGATTGGAACATAATACAGAGCAATTCAAGAATAAATGAAGTAGAATTAACTCTGAGCAATGTAGGAAAAATGAAAACATGAGCATAAAGTCAAAACAAGAAATAAGGATTAGTGATCCCCTAAAAGGTGAATAATGTTCCAGATCCTGAATCTCTGGCAGTGAGAATGTCTAGGTGGCAGCATAATTTCTACAGATACATGATCTTCAGAGAAGATAAAAGTTTCAGGACACTGCAATGTTTATAAGAATGGGGAGGTTCAGGTCCACCTTATTGAATCATGGGTGGATGTCTTTGGTCAAGCCATTCATTCTCTGCCTGAACTATCTCAGAAACTAGCTGGTGTGAGGATAAAACAAAGTGAGGTCCTCACATAAGTCACAGCTCTTAGAGAAAAGAAAGATATAAATAAAATAAATGCTAAAATAATCATTAGCACTCTTCTAAGGTAGAAAATTAAGATAAGAATACGATAGATAGGATATTATGGATTATAAACGTAGTCTGTCTTTATTGAAAAATAGATGAAGGCGAAGACCTTGCAAAGTTTCAGATCATTCTGAATAATAACTGCTGCCAAACTCACTCCACCAACACCTGGAACCAGTCCATGAAACATTCCTAGGAAAGGGTTATGCTGAAAGTCAACAAATGTATTTTTTTTAGTCATTTGCTGCACATTCATTTTGTGCAGTGCTCTGTGCACAGACAGCATATATTCATACAGTTGCAAGTAAGTTGAACATTTAGTCAATAAATTGACTGAAAATAGCAGAATGCTAGTATTCGATTAAGGAATTAATGTTATTCACCACTACCCTAGTTTTCTTCCCCACTTGTCAAATGTCTAGCTAAATTCAGTGATTATTGATAGTAATGGTTATTGAAGTAAGAAACACAAAACAGTATTATAGCGTAACTGTGCTGGGTAGAACGTTGCAAATTAAAGGTTTCAGAGAGTTGATGTAGTACAGGCAAATGGATATATATTGGAAAAGTAAATGTTATTTATTTTCTTATTATACACATTTCTATCCTGCTGCAATCAAAAAGAGTCTTGACAACTTACATAGAATACAGTAAGACAATTTAAAGCATCCACTTTGCCATATTGGTGGCCACTAGAAGTTCATTCTTATTTCAATGCAACCAATGCTTCTTGTCTGATTTCACTTAACTCCTCACTAACCTACCATAAGGCTGAAACAAAACACTATTGTTAAACATTATACTGAGCCACATCAACATCCATGGCTTTTTCTTCCTCAAAGGTACATATCAGTTTTAGAATTTCCCTTACTACCTATCTTTTATTACTTACTAGATGAACTAAATGCAGTGCAAAAGACTGGCATCTCCATGACATTTTAGAAGAGACACTGGCTAAGATTAAAGTGTTTGAGAAAGAAAACAGAAGGAAAAAAGAGAGTGTCATGTTTTGCACCTATTGTAACTTTATTGTATCATAATAAAATCCTCGATTCAATACAAAGTAATAACTAGTTTTGACATTAGTAATACAAATGTCCTCTATCAGTATTAATTTCCCCCAGTATTAATATTAGCTATGTAAAGTCATGAGCTGATGTCAAGAAGCCAACAAAGAAATTCTGGTACTTTTTAAAAAAGATAATTGTATTAGTGTCAGATATTTATCTTAATGCAGGAATGTTTCTATTGT